AATAAATAGATGATCCTAAAAGAGGCAGGCTCAAATAGATGGCCACGTGTGTACATATAGACTACATACATATATTATCATTATAAATAAATTGATCCAAGCAGTTATTGAAAATTGCCAGCAAGATATTTTTACAGCAAAGCCACCATAACTGTATCATATGGCCATGAAATATGGATGCACAGTCAAGGCCAATGCAAGTTTTGACATCTCCATTTACTATACAATTTTAACTGTAACACCATGTAAATATCCACTTGCTAATACTAAAATATTATATATGGTTACCTGATGTTGACAGATTTTTGACCAAGAAAATTCGACATAAGGAAAAGACAAAATAATCATCTGTGCATGAACATCACACAAATTGCTGTATTGCCAATACGTTGACTTTTCCTTTCTGACTGGGCAACTAATTCACTTATTTGAATAGCAGAGACACTTCAGCTGTCAACAAAGGTGTAATGTAGAAGATCAAATTAAACTTTTGGAGAAAAAAATATATCTCAGGATTAGACAGGTGAGCAAAGGTATATGTAATGGTCAAACCAAACTCACCAGCTGACATAAACTAGTAAGGATTACAACATTGATAAGCGCAATATTCATCACTGTATGACCCCATTCCCATAGATATTTAGATCGATCTATCCCCCTGGGGAGTCTCACTAGATTGGTGTCAGCTTAACTGGCTTAAATGTCTGTCCTGTCTACTAAAAAGTGTAATTAACTGTCGTGCGCGCTTGGGTGACAGCAATTTAGCGTGAACCCTCAGGGAGTTAGGTCGATCCAGATGGATCGATCTCTGGGAATGCACTCAGTCTCTTAGTGATAATAGTTAGCTACTGATCTGCAAAATTATCTGAAGCTTGGTGAAGTTGATGAAATCACAAGAGCCAATAGAATAGAATGTAGTATTTTCATAGTGACTGGGCCTTGAACCTATTTGTCACTAAAAGACATCATGTTTATTAGGACAACAATCCATTCCACATTGCAGTCAGTCAGTGACAACATTGGCTTCTGATAAGGTTGTCCAAAAGTTAACAGTGAGAAGAAATCTACCTTGTGCCCAATAACCTTATAATTATTTTATTTCCAATGACTAATGAACCTTTTTTCTTGACAACAATTATTATTGAATAAAAATAAATTATAGTAGTAATAACAGATCAACTGTCAATTAGCTACTATAATTAGAAGACAGATTGTACCTGCTTACTGATGGGTCCGTATCCACCTATAAAATGTTTACTACACATGTGAGTGGCCTTTGAAACCTTTTCTATATTTAACTTCTTGCTTAAAGTTTTCCACATCAAACCACCTGTTTTGCATTTCTGTAGATATGCTTTTTGCATAGGAAATCACACACACACACACACACACACACACACACACACACACACAAAAAAAAACAAAAACGCCATATCTGATATGCACCCTGTCAGCATGCCGAGAGTCACTTTTGAATGTGCCATAAACAATGCTTATTTCTCACTGAGGTACCTACCAAATTTGTGAATGACATGAAAAATAATTACAGTTATGGAAAAATATTTGGAGGTATATATGTCACTTTTGCCACTCTTCCAGGTAAATGTATATACTGTGTCTACATATTAAATAAATTAACACATAAAAATTCAAAACTGTATTCTAATTCCCAAATATACGGTTGGGAAATCATTATATTACGAGCAATAAAAAGCTGCACACTAGAAAGAGCAATTATATCTAGGCATAATAAATCACAGCATAAAAGTCAAAGTGCAAATCAATGCATTGACTCGTGAAATAAAATCAGGCTGTCAAAATGGCTGATGATAAGGCAAAACATTTCAGTCAGGACCCTAAAATAATGAAAGAAGCAAACTTAATCATCCTTTAGTTTAAAATTAGCACCTCTTAGTATCTGAATAACTGATGTTCTCTGGAGGTCTCAGGTGAATTTGCAATAACTTAAAGATGACTGTCACTTTGATTTAACCATTAAACCTGCTCTTTTAAGGTGAGTGAGGTCACTCCAACAAAAATATCTTAACCAGGTAACTTGAAAAGAGGAATGAACAGGGACCACAAAATTTAGAAATGAATTGTCTCATTGAACTCTTCGATAACTTTCAATGTCACAGTTTTTTTTTATGTCACATGGCTAAAAATTTTGTCACCTTGTATCTTAAAAAAAAAGCCTAGAGAGATATGCCCATATATGTTGCATCCTTTGCAGGTGATTAAACTTCTGTCCCTTGTACAAATTAGAAACACAAACATCAAGTCCAAAGGTATTATAGACACAGCACACCCCATATGAAATCACCTGATTACCAGGCAAGCATCCTAAGTCAACAGTCTTTAATAAAATGCAGTATATGGAATCCAGAAAGCATTATGCCCCACAGTATTCATTAGAAAGCAAAGTAATCAAATGTGCCGAAACAATTAAGATACAGCTCTCACAATATTTGATGAACAAACTGAATAAACTGAACAAACTGAATATATTAATCAAGAGCTTTTTAAAGTTTCTACGATTTTAAAGTACTTATTATTTATTAATAATTTGCAAGTCATTGACATTGCTCTGTGAGCAATTATATTTTAATATAAGGCCACACTTTTTAATTTTTATGGATGACTTCCTGCGTCCTGCGCGCGCACCGCTCTCCCCCCCCAAAAAATGACCCCCAACGAAGTCGGTTGTCGCAAACGCCGTTATTGAATTTGCCAGAAAATGAGTTTTCTGCGCATGCGTATTATCGCCATGTGGAAATGTGGCGGCTTTGCTGTTGTAGCGATTTGGGGTGAGTGCAGAAAAATCACCGACCAGACCAGGAATCGAACCCGGGACCTCTTGCTAACAGGGCGAGTGCTCTACCGCCTGAGCTATCCGGCCGGTTCTACCTGCCCCTGGCACTACACTCCTCCCCCCCAAATGCCGAAAGATGCGAGCCCTATCTCGCAACACTGCTGCCACCACTGTAGCGATTTGGGGTGAGTGCAGAAAAATCACCGACCAGACCAGGAATCGAACCCGGGACCTCTCACTAACAAGGCGAGTGCTCTACCGCCTGAGCTATCCGGCCGGTTCTACCTGCCCCTGGCACTACACTGTCAAATTCATCTTTAGGATTGCTGTCAAATTACACGACAATTAAAGTCATAAAGGGGACGGGGGCCGTCGTTTTGGATTGGTATGCCATTGATATTGGGCATGGATATATCACCTTTCTACAATTATACAAAAGGCTGGTGACCGCCAGCGATTATTGCCTGGAAATCTTCAGTGACATTCTGTCCAAAGCAGCACGTACCAGTTTTTTTTTTTTTTGTAGCGAAAACAAGGTCGACAAAGGGGTCAAGGTATTTGGTGTGCTGAAGGTCGAACAGGCTACCCGACAGTTTGGCTGCTTCGTGCGAGTCGAAGTAGACAAAACAGCTTTGACTGAAATGACCTTTAATGGATTTGGTAGTATTAAGCACATCTTTGCATGATTTTTAAACATTTCTGTGAAGTATTCACAATGCTTTAATATTTTGAGAGCATACAGTAGATAAAGACATATTGTTAGTTTGATACGCGTTTCTGTGGTAAATTTGTGTTTCCAGCTGTGTACTGACAGCATTCCTTTACTAAGGCAATATTTTTTTTTTTTGGGACGTTTTTTTTTTTTTCGCTCTCTCGCACAGATTTCAGGTCCCCAGAGGATGTCATCCATAAAAATAAAAAAGTGTGGCCTAAGTACAATAAAAAACACTTTAGAAGTTAAAACACCCCTTTTTGTTGCTTTGTTTGCCACCCCATAAAAATTTGACTGATCTGAAACTGATTTCTTGTCAAAACATAGTCTTCTGATGAATTTTTCAAGGCCAATGGTATTTTTAAATTTTTACCACTGATATATATTGTACCTGCCATATTGGTCCAAGATCTTTAAATGAACAGATGGCCTTCAAAAAATTTAGCCGACATATTCTAGGATGGGTATTGTCATCATTGGTTGTAACAAAACGTTTCATGCCAAGATAAACTTACACAATACAATAATCCAATGTTGGGATAGTTACCACTGATCTTCAACAGGGAAATTATTTTTTGTAGGCAAGGGGTTTCAAGACATTAAGAACTGCCATTTTGGCTACCCTCTACCAGGGCCACAGATTGACTTTTCACAGGGTATTCACAGGTATGCCTTTAGATAAATAGAAAGTCATTTTACTATCTCTGACCCTGTGCTGAAATCTCTAGGTTGATTACATGGTTGGCAAATGTTTGCATATCTGCTTAGGCACTGCCACTTATCTGACCCAAGCAAAGTCCCCTTGACAGCAATCAAGACTGTTAATTGCTCTGAATTTAATATTCTTTCTTTATTCATTGTATTGTATGCATCTACATGTGTAGATGAAAATGTACAATAGGAATGCACTTATAAATAAGTATGAATTATATCAAGTAGTGAAATGATACGACTATATGTAAGAAAAATACAAAACATAATTGGCAGAGCCCAAGTGGCTTTACCTACTCAACAGCCAGTACACTTGTTGGTAATGGGTGCAGCACAGTCCCTTTTTTGAAAGGCTAACCATAAATATTTGGCAAGAGCAATCATCTGTTCATTCTTCTTACCAGTCATTAGTGTTATAAATGTATCCATTCTGGTAAGATGCTCAAAGTTACTATCTTGTTATTTGTACACTGAATAAAGATCATATAGGAGATCTGTATAAAGAGGGCACAACACAAGGAAATGGATTTCATCTTCTATTTCCCCAGAATTACACTTTTTGCAAATTCTGTCTGCTTGAGGAATTTTTTCATGTCTACCTGTTTCAATACCTAGGTTGTGTGCACTTTAATCACTTGCTCTTTTGTGACAGATAAAAATAGTCCCTTCTGAATAGCTTGTTACTACAGATTGAAGTCAACTGAGGCATCTGCTGTAGTAACTCCCTACAGAGCAATACTATGCCATCTGCATGTAGATTTAATTGCTTCCATCTGGCCAAAAATAACAGGGTGGCTTTTTCACATTTTCCCTGTAATATTTGCCAAACTGATAATAGAGGGTACATTTTGGCTATCTGAGAGTGAGCAACGAAAGACCAATTGTCTTTTGAAGGTTATATGTCACTACCAGTACGTGTGAGTGACAGGGGTGGTCTGAAGATAAAAACTAATTCAAATTTTCTCAGTTTTTTCCTGTACCTTAATTGTGCTCACCTAGCTATACAGAGGTGAGAAGAACAGCAACTGGACATGCTTTGTAACTTAAACATATTTGTTTCGGGGGGGGGGGGGGGGGGGGCAGAGGGATAGAGACACATCATTGCCTTGGAATTTATTTGGAGAACTGATGGTCCTGGCAGCTTGACCAAAGGGGGGGGGGGGAAGGAAGAGAAATATTATTATGTTGGAATTTGTTTGGAGAAATGATGGTCTAGGTACATGTAGCTTGACCATCAAAAATATGTTATATTTTAATAACAGGTGTTTTAACTTAAAGCGTCTGTTACTAAATTAGTAAATAATTATTATTAAGGGTATCTATAGTACTGAGCATATCAAATTAGAGTATTGGTACAACAATTAGTCAAAGCTACACAAATAATGAACCCTACCATTCCATTCATACTCCGAGAGGACCATGTGTATCACTTCAGGTTCAACACTCCCTTTAAACATATCCTGGAGGTTCTCGAACGTAGAATCACGGCTCTGTAACTGTTCTGCTTTCTGATTCATATTTTTCTATTTTTTCTGGACCTGCAATAAATATCCTGTTACTGTACAGTAGCTATACTTGTCACATGCGGGTTACGAAAAGGCTCGATTTGTAGGACAGTCGGCCCTAGTAGTAATCAATGTTGCGTTATCAACAGATCATAGTAAGAATGGTGGCCCCTGGGGTTCAAGTAGTGGGGTAGATTCACACATGTAAATACATAAAAACAATACAAATGTTCTGTTCTCATTCGAAAAAATGGAAAATTACTTTTCCTCTAGTGTAACTGATAGAAGAAAATTGAAGTGTTAAGGAGCACTCTTATGATTTTTTAAAAGAGTTTAAATAGAAAGAAGCCGACACGCAATAAGACCACCCCTTCGACTGCCCCTTCATTGCCTGTGGTACCGGGGTTTGTGCACTTGAGTACATCCACGCATGTGCAGACGTACTTTAAATTTCCAAATGGTAAAAGTAGCTTCAACTTGATTGGTCAATCATTCAGTAAACCCATCTACTTTTTATGAAATAGATTCTTTAAATAGCACCTTATATAAACATATCATGTACGACACTGAAAAAGATATGTATTATAAAGAAACGCATTTACCTAAATTAAAATTCAGTCGAGAATGGCAATTATTTTAAGAATATCTTTCTAGATATTTGACCAATAGCGTGCAAGTTTGCAAACGTCAATCACTTGGAGCCCAATAGGTTTGGCGCCATTTTGATTCAAAGATTGTTTTATTGACATTAATTACTGAAGATCTTTCAACATAGGTACCTTTAAAAAATAATCGCATTATTCTGTTAACATAATCAACCGACCTGCTAGAGCTCAGGGGAGTAAAAGTGCGCAATACACTGTACTTCACTTGATACAAGTGTTTCAAGGTAAGCGGTAGTCGGCTGCATGTGAGACATCCAAGATGGCCGTGAAATGAAACTTCCCATTTTGCATGGTGATTGCGGCAGACCCAACAAACAAAATTGCTGTGGTTTTTACACCGATTGCTCCTCATTTGTGTCTGTTGGTTTGATAGGTAGTGTATGTTAACCATGTGAGACTATTCTTATGTTGAGTGTAATATTTCGGAGCAAAGCACCGTTTTGGGCGCCTGACTTCACAAATAAAGTACTGCAGGCTGGCTTTGCATATCAAATTTTTCATTTTGGTCTCATTGGAATTACAGGGATGATCATGGTAGAATCACTTTGAGGAGCTATAATATTTGATTTGGTCGTATTCATATTGCCAGGAAGTTAGTGCTTGCTGTCAAATAGTGGATCGATTGAATGATATTGTCATTGAAGGGCTTTGTTGAAATAGGTGGCATTGATTGATTATGAAGTCAAACTGCAGTCTTTTTATTAAAAATAGCTTGGTCACATTATTATAAATTTGTAGCAAGATTTCAAACACTCAGAAATGCCTTGAAATAAAGGTGAGACAGCATTATTCTGTCCAAGTTGATTGTGTTCCATTTGCAAGAGCTGATAACTCGGTGTTACAGACATGTTTTTAGTTTCCCAGTACGTGTATTTGATACAGGTATTTTAAATTGAGAAAATGTAGGCTAGGTACACACTTGATACTTACTTTAGAATGCACTGTGACTCAGGAAAATGCAAGGACTTTTTTCTTTGCTTCAACAAGTTTATCATTGATGTACATAATTCAGATTTGGATTTGGTGGACGCATTCCAGTTATTTGACCAAAAGAAATTGTTTTAGAAGTGTGAGGTTAATAAGTATGTGGCTTTGATTGGAAAAAAGAAATCAGCTTGATCACATTCAAAATTATCTCTCAGTTTGCTTGAAATATGTAGATCTGTCCATACTTGATTGTGTTTTTTTATGCTGCAGTTCAGTTTGACTTGCATGTTTGTTTTACTTTTGTCTTTTTATGTTTGAGTGCACTTCCAGATAGTCATTTAAATGTTGACTTGAATCAGTAGATGCTATTAAGATCATATCAACAGCAAGTGGTATATATATTCAAATGTGAAGCTTTTATCTGCCCCTTGTTTCTCAGGGTGTTGACTGTGGCCCCCAAGATGCCTAAAGCTGCATCCAAGGGAGCCAAGCTGGTGTACCCTGCAGGGTGCAAGGAAGTCTCTGGAGACATGAACAAGGAAGAACTGGTCAAGAGACTGAAGGTCAGTTGTGGTCATTTGGAGTCTGTATGATTCATATTTGGGCTGATTGTAACATGACATGGATGGAAGTAATTGTTAATTTTTTCTCCTTGTTGAATAATAAATTTTGAAAATATAAGGATGTATGTGAAATTTTGAAAACATTTTAGTGGAGAAATATACATATATATTTTTTTCATGTAAACATTGTGTTCTCATTTCTGATTACAGTCATTGGGTTGTTTTGTGTTGATCTTTTTGTCCTTGTTAACTCTTTGGTCACTTCATATGACATTTTCTTTAAATGATACTAAGGCAGAGTTCCTACCATTTTTTATGGTTTTGTTGTAATTCCAGGCATTGGCTAGGGCCTTTCAGGACATGGGACAGGATGATAATGAGAAGTACACGGAATTGGCCCTCCACCTTGCCTCGGAGTTCTTCATAGATCACAGCAGCAAGGATGTGCGCCTGCTTGTGGCCTGCTGCATTGCGGACGTGTTCAGAATTTTTGCTCCAGAGGCACCGTACACCAATCAGGATCAGTTAAAGGTTGAAAGAATTGATTTGTTTGTTTAGGATTATTCAGATATATATTTGACATAAATTGTGTAGAGATAAAAAGACTTTCTGATTTATCTAGATATTTTGGGTGTTGCATTTATACCCCCACCCCACCCCTCAATGATCTTAAGAAACTTTTGTCTTCCAGGAAATTTTCTTGTTCCTGATCAAGCAGCTAAGGGGACTGGATGACCCAGAAGCACCACAGTTCAAGAGATATTTTTACCTGCTAGAGGTATGAATTAAAGGCTTTTCATTCATTTCTTCTGCCAAATAATTAAAAGTGATATGTTGCAGAGTTCTAAGGCCTTTTTGTGGTATTTGTTTATAGGAGGGAATTCTGACACTTATGTAAGGTTCACTCTCCTGCTTTAGCATTTATCATTAACTTGGGTGAGAGCGCCTAGAAGAAAAGAAATGTGTGTCATATGTCAGACTTTTGATCATTTGATTGTGATATCCTGTGTGCTGTTCTGTACTAATCAAATGTATAACATTAATAGGGTCCTTAATCTTTCCTTATGGTTAAATCAAATTATGGAATTCTTCATTTTTTCATTCTAAATTTTTTTGTTTCAAACCTTATGAAATGACGTCTTTTCAGAACCTTGCCTGGGTTAAGTCATTCAATATCTGCATTGAACTGGAGGACAACCAGGAAATTTTCTGCAGTCTCTTCAAACTGATGTTTGACATAATCAAGTAAGGGAAAGTTGTTGACCATATTCAGGGTATAAGTGTGTTTATTTATGAAAAATATTCAAAATAAATCATTGGACTGACTATAAATAATTTTGTTTGAATCAAAAAGCTTAAGAATTTCAGTCCGGTTTTGTGAAAAAAATTCAATTATTTTATCACAGTCATCAGCAAGTACTGATTGTCTGTATATTTTTCATTACTATTTTAGTGACAAGCACACGGCCAAAGTGAAAAACTTTATGTTGGACATGATGTGTCCACTCATAGCCGAGGCGGACAGTGTGTCCCAAAAACTTCTGGACATCATTTTAGTTAACATTATTGAGCCTTGGAAGGTAAATTAAAGTTATTTGATTTTTTAAAGCTTTTGGGTTCCGGCTGAGAATGTAGTAGGACTATGTTTTTGCTTTTTACAGTTTATCTCTTGAAATAGCTTTGCCCTTATCAACTTGTTGTAAAAGACTACTATTATCATGTATCATTATTGATATCTTGGAAGTTAGAATAATTTTATATAAATATGCTCCTTTTGGTATATTATATTATATTATGTTCAAAAGAAGCACAATATGCCATGTACCAGCAAAATAAGTAAAGCACTAAAGCTTCATTCAGTAAAGTCACTGTGACACAGCTCATCTTGAACATCAGGTTTGCACAGAAGATCTTATTATTGTTTAGCAGACAACCATTGATCCCAAGTTTTGCTGCAGTTTTGTTCTTGTTTACTGTACAAATTATTAACATTACACCATGGTCCCATATTTAGTGTCATGTGATTTTAGACAGAAAATTGCCCATGTGGTACGAAATAAGCAATGGAAACCTAAATGTAGCTGGACTAAAAATAGTAAATTACATTTTGTTCTTATTTTGATAGTTACTGCTGTGTAAATAACAACTTCCTTACTGAGTTATTATGTCATTGTTTGTATAACTTTCCAGAGTCAGAACCGCCAAGCATATGACCTAGCTAAAGACTTGATCAAACGCACATCAAATGCCATTGAACCCTATATTCAAACTGTAAGTTATAGAAGTCTTTTTATTTTAACAGTTGCATATTACAATGTTAACATTATTTTTGAAAAAAAAGTGCTGTTTGTTGGGTTATCCCTTTTTTGTTTTTTTGCAAACACACCTGTATGTTTGTAAGCAATGACTTAGCAATTTTTTAAAATATTTACACCTGGTGTACATAATCACTTTTGCATTTGGTACTAGAAAGTTCTTCATGCTATGTATGAACTTAAAAATTAATACTCAACAACTGTGCTTGCACCACATTTCAGTTTTTCAACAATGCTTTAATGCTGGGCAAGACCTCGGAGAGTGAAGTATCAGATCACATCTTTAAGCTGATCTATGAACTCAACATGATATCCCCCAGTATTCTTTTAGCAGTGTTACCACAGTTGGAGTTCAAACTTAAGGTAGGATTGGCAGGGTGATTATGGAAAAATAAAAAGAAAGAACAAAAACCACTGGCTTAGTAGAAAAATGAGAAAAAAAATTGAAATCTTTAAAGTCATAATAACTCTTCATTTTGGCCAAAAATTGGATTTTCCTGGAGTAAACGGCAATTTTCCCGTACTTACCAATGGTCAGCGACCCCATTCCTGCATTCAAAGTTAATCCAGGGTTTTTTTCCTAAACGTACGGTTTTTTGTTAAAATCTCTTAAGAGATTTTAACTGACGGAGCTCTCTCTGACATCGCATAGTCACTGTTGACCTACTTAAAACCGCGGGAAAAGCAGACAACAACAATACTATATAAGATTCATGAGATATATTCGTCTTTTTGTTAAAAATACATAATATCCACAATGTGTGCCGTTCTGGGCTTTTTGTTATCCGATGCACTGTACAAAAACTCGCAACTTACGTCTGCGTCCGCATTAATGCGTTTGGCGCCATATGTTATTTTGGTCTCGAATGAAAGCGAGAATCCGCGTGACACAATTACGTCATTAGCAACGAATGCCTTGATGAAAGCTTCGAAAGCCCTATTGACAAGCACAGATTTTAGTTTTACTACAATAACGGCCGTTTTAGTGGTAAAATACAATAGAATATATTTCCATGCGTTGTTTACAATGTATTTCATGCGGAATTTTGAATCTCAAAGGAAGAGTTATTATTGCTTTAACCATTTTAAATACCACGTGGATAACATTGGGCTTGCAATTGATCAGACTGTGTAACAGTTTTATAACAAGAAATCTGCGGTTAGTGTTTCAGACCATTACTTCATTTATGTGGACTTGAAGAAGGCCAGATTTTTTTATCTGAAAGATTTAACTAATTTTTGTGCAATATTTCTTTTTTGAAACTCTGCCTAGTTTAAGTAAAATGAAAATTTTCAAAGTAACTAGTCTTATTTATTAATTGTAAGGTGGTTTTGATTATTTTCCATAATCTGTAGATTTCATCTTGCCACTAATTTTGATATGGGCCAAACACTTTATCAGGCCCACTAGTTCAAGTAACCTTTGCAATGGTGACACAGACTGTTTATGTTGTAATTATTTTCTATATTTCAGAGTAATGATGAGGGTGAAAGAAAGGCAGTCACCAAGTTGTTGGCACGTATGTTTTCAGACACAGACTCGGACCTTGCTGTTCAAAACAAGCCACTGTGGCTGTGCTTTCTAGGGAGGTACGATCTCTCTTTTGTGTCATTCATTCCCCTGTTTAGTGTCTAATCACATGCATTCTCAATATGATGATAAAACATTGTATAGATATAATATGGTTTTTGTAAATTCTTATTCATCTGTAAAATTTTATTGCATTATTTGTAGCCTGTCATGTCTGTGCACTAAATAAAGCAATTTGTAGCTTACAAATGGCCCAAGTTTCTTGTCCCTTTGCAAACTTCTTGTCCATGTGCAAGGTTGCTGTGACACCTTATGTAGTCACATCTATGCTGAGCAAAATAATATGTACATAATATGCAAAAGTATACAATTATATGACAAATTTCTTGTCTATTTATTGAATGTTGCTAAGAAATATTTTGAAATGTGTTTTTCATTATTTTATATATTGAAGCAAATATGTTTGGCTTAATAACTGTTCAGGTATATTTCCCTATTACAGTCTCTCACAACAGGTTATATCTCCATATCATGAATGTTTTTAATTCAGGATGACTACCAGTTTATCTAAATAAATCACATTTACATATGATCAAAATGATTATAGCTTTTTAGGCAGTTTTAAATATTTCAAGTATTTTGTTTTATCCACATTTAGATTTGTCAAGTATTTCGTTTTTTTTCCACATTTAGATTTAATGATATCAGTGCGTCAGTGAGGACCATATGTGTGCAGTACAGCCAGCAGTTCTTGATTAACCACCCAGCTCTGAGGGGAGACATGACAGGTAATTTAACCTTCCCACATATTTTATGGCATGTAATGTGACCTTCAGGTCCACCTGTTTCATGTCAGGTAATGTGACCTTCAGGTCCGCTTGTTTCATGTCAAGTAATGTGACCTTCAGGATTTCCCATTTCTTGAGAGAGGATGTGTTCTTCAGGTCCACTTATTTCATGACAGGTCATGTTACCTTCAGCACCACCCATTCATGACAGGTCATGTTACCTTTAGCACTACCCATATGTGACAGGTCATGAACTGGAGTACCACCTGTTTCATGACAAGTAATATGACCTTCAGGTATACACCTACTGCATGACAGGTCATGTAACCTTACTGCCATTTTCATGGTCAATAACGTGATGTTCAAATCTTTATTAACTTAATGTTGGCAATTGAATAGGTGACAGCATGAAGAATGTATATATCCACTTCTTTAATGCCTTTCAAAATAAAAAGAACCTGGAGAATACATGTCTTTGAAGTTAACAGTGCTTAATTCTTTCTCACTTTATTGTAGAAAACTTGAAGCAGCGTCAACATGACCAGGAGGAGAATATCCGCTATGATGTCGTCCAGTCCATCATTGCCGCAGCCAAGAAAGACTTGCCTGGTATCAATGATGAACTGCTGGGTTTTGTCAAGGAGAGAACACTGGACAAGAAAGTAAGAGAAACATGTTCATTTTATCAGACTGAAGACCTCTTTCGAATAAATGAATATCTTTTTCTCCAATAAATAAATAAACTTAAATACTGCTCTTTTAAAATCGTATCATTCTCTTAACATTCAATTTCAAATAATCTTTTCTAGTAATTTTGATTATATTCAGAACACATATTGAATACTGAACAACACAAGTAGGTTTAGCGTTTATAATTGTTACTAACCGCCTGAGTTAAAAAACATTAGGCATTTTTATGAAAACAATTTCATTAAAGAACTTTTACTTTGTTATATGCAGAGCATTGTACGTCTTTACCAAGCCAAATATTAATGTTTTCTAATGGTAAAAAGGTTTTTCAATTCACTGTGAAGGAGGTTCTTGATAGTTCGAGTAGTGATTTTTCTGATTTTTTATGGCTGAATGCAACACCCAGGAAATGACCTGTATGACTTTTGTTATAAAGTTCTCACCCATGAATAGCTGTTTTATAAAATGCATTTGGTTTGACTTGTAGTTCAAGGTGCGCCGTGAGGCACTGTTGGGGCTGGGGCACCTGTTTAAGAAGGTAATGTCCAAGTCTGAAGACACTGAAGAAAACAAGGAGCTGCGTAAGAGGGTGGACTGGATGAAGGACAGAGTGATCAATGGGTACTACCAGACCAATATAGAAGACAGGTAAGAGTGGGGGTAAAACTGATGAATTAAATAATTGGGAAATATAATTCCCCACTTTTCTGACATTTCCAAGGGCTATCAGGTTAACTTAAATTTAATCCATCTTCAAAATACATGATAATTTATTTATCTGCAGTTCTGTAATTGTCGGAAGTTATGAGCTAGGTATGAATTGTAATAGAGATGGTAGCCTTATTAAGGAGTTCGAGTTGATAACAGTTAAGTTGTAGTTTTAGTGTGTATTTTCTACCAGTGCACGTGGCTTTTACTCTCCTGTATTTGGAGTCACTCTAAATATATTTTATTGTTTCTTTTCCAAGACTTGTTGTGGAGAGAATCTTCAACACGTGCCTTGTGCCATACATGCTGGATGTGAAGGAACGCATGAAGCGACTTTATTACTTGTATGCAACTCTAGACCAAAGTGCCATTAAGTGAGTGAAGAATGCCAGATATGGACAATATATAGATATGATAACGATTATGAAGTCATTTTTAGTGCTGACATTAGATTATATGCAGTTAAGATAAAGATAATTACCAAACAGAAAAAGTGCAAAATTCTTTAAGGATTTACTCCCAGTTAACTTATGAAATATTGATGGTATTGATATTTTTACCTCTGTTTGTGCATTTTTCATTGGGGGGTTTATCCAAAATTATTTTCAGTAAAAATTTTGCAGAATTTTTTTTCAGTACTTTCACTTCAAATTATCAAGTCTGGGCTAACTCCAGCATTGACGAAATTGAACAATAAAAAAAAGGAAGAAAAAAGTCATTTTCTTAAGTCATTGTAAAGTATGTTAGATGTTGGGGGAAATTTCCAAGGTTTCTGTATTACAGAGGGATTACAGATTTCATCTACTTGTCAACTTTTCCAGAGCACTGAATGAGCTGTTGAAGATGCAGTACAGTTTGAGGTGTCATGTCCGCGGCTTGTTAGACTTACACAGTAGAGATCTGCAGACAGCAGACAGTGTCAGCCTCATGATGTCCAAGGTTTATTTTCTATCAAGTAAGTAGAATATTAATATCAAAAGTACAAAAGGAGTGTAAGGCCTTGATATAAAAATATTAATATTCAGAAATGTCATATCCAGAAACATTAGTTCAAAATTTTCAACAAAAATGTTTAAGCAATATGTCAGTGGACACATTATATAACCTTCATTAGGCAAATTTTTACTTTATTTTGTAATTTGACATCACATGTATTAATACACCCCAGCCACCTTTACAGAAATAAACAAAAAATTGAAATTTTTCAAAAACATTTTCTCTGGGATTCTTTAAAAAGTTACACTATGTTATTTTTCAGGAAATCTTCCTGACAGCAACAAAGCCCTGGAACATGTAAAAAAATTTAACCAAATTCTGAGGGATGACAAGAGGATCAGGACCCACTTACAGGACTTGGTCTCTCCTGGCTGCCCATGCAAGATGGCAGAGGAACATGTGGTCAGTTTACTGTCATGGATATTATGTCCTGATAATTCTTAATAATTGCCTAAAGGCTGTGTCACAAAAAGTTGGATGCTGATTTTTAAAATTTTTTTCTTTAATTTTTTTTCTTTTTATTAAGTTGTTTGTAAAACGGGTCTTTTTTAGTTTCAGAAAGATATGATACTATGATAAATTCTATAATCTAGTACCTCTTTCAAATTTTCAGTAGCTGTTTAAAAAATTTATCATTGATTTTTTAGAATTTAACTTATTAATTTTTAAATGAATTTTTATTAAGATGTACTGGAATGAAATAGACATGCCTTCATTAAAATGCCTCTCATAACCCCCGTCTTTTACAACAGAAAGAAATCTTGAAGAAGATTGGAGGTCAGGGCCAGGTCCCCGCGGCACAGCAGGGTATCTACGGCACAGTAAAGGTGCTGCTGGAGAGAATAGCGCCTGTCCTCATAGACCAGGAAGCCATCTCCCACCTCATGACCCTGGTGGATGAAGCCATAAGGGGGCTGGGTGAGATGAATGATGAAATCAAGTCGGCATCACTGGCAGGGATGAAGCTGCTATATGTGAGTAGAGGTTAATGCAGGTGGTTTTACTGCACAGGTGAAAAATAATTTTGTTGTTTACAATGTGTTTTTGAAGTGCATTGCCTCAAGATAAATATTCCACAAAAATTATGCTGGGAAAAATGATATAGCAAATGCTGATTTCTGTCTAGTGCTTTTGAAAGGAATCTCAGTGTAAAATTGGGTTGAAGTCATATTTGAATTGACCCTTTTACCATTATTTTACTATACATCCCCTTTTTGCCAGTGCCTTTTGCATGTGTGTATCTAAATCTGAAATAATTTTGGCTTGCTTTTTTAGTCAGTTGATAGTCATGATAAAATTGTTATCCCAACATATTTTTGTAAGTCCATAAACAGCATGGTTTGTTATTCCAGACACTGTCATATGTGTACCCTGGAGCTTTCCAGACAGAAGCCACTTTTACACATTTGATAGCTCTACTAAAACATGAGGATGAGGGAGTCTGTGAGTATACTTACCATTATTTAGCTTACTAATATGCAGCATGTTTTATAGGAAGCAGCATGTATTATAGGAAAACAACTGTAACTGAATATTTATTATTCTTATTTTCCCTCTCTTTTTATTTATTTATTTCTGTGGTATTAAACAGTTCTGTTACAGTATAATACAAAACCACAGGAGAGTGATACATTTATTTAAACTGTCAGTGGATATTTGAATGTGTTAAAAATTAAGACTTTAATATCTGACTTGAAATTTAAGCATTTTCTTTTTAAATTTTCAGCCGACCTTACCCTCCAGATATTTTGCAACACCGGTTATGCATTGCAAGAAAAGTTCCCAAACATATATTCGTAAGTATTTTATTTTTAAGTGTTTTTTATGTCCGAAAATAATACATCATCAGAATATAGATGAATTCATGCCCACTGAAGAAAAGGCACACGGTGCCTAAAAGATTACAGGACAAAATGCCTTTTTTTTGGTGGGGCAAAAGGAGCTCAGTAACAGAAGTAGACCCAATTTCACATTTTATAAATTTCAGGAGCTTGCTGCCTGTGTTGACGAGCATGGTGAAGATCGGATCCCCAAAGCAGGCCAAGCATGCTGTCAAAGGGATAGCAGTATTGTGCTCAAACAAAGAAGTGATTTATGCTCAGATGATGGAGGTGAGAAAAGGGTCACACTGTTGTACTCATAATCTGCCAAGGATTTTTTAAGGGGTGGGTTGCGACATATTTCTCATTTTTTTTTAGTCAAAAGTATGTGTTAATTGTTTTCTAAGACAAGATGCTTGCTTTCAACTCCTTGCGAATGACAAAGATACAAAGATACAGGTTTATATGTAAAAAATTCTCAACTCGAACATTCCATTCCAGCACCTGAAGAAATCTCTGAATCATGAATCGGTGAACTTCCTGACAGCATTAGTTGCCATAGGTCATATAGCGTTCTACTGCCCGCAGCACGTCGCGGGAGACCTGAGGAGCATCGTATCCAAATTTATTGTCAAAGACTTACTGATGCAGGACAGGGTAAGACAGGAGACTGGGGATGCTAAGCTGTGTATTTTGTGACTAATACAGTTTGAATTAGCCTTAGATGTTTGATGATAATTCTGTAAAACGGAGTCGATGCTCAGAGTAATATGTGCTTCATAATTGTTTTCTTCATAGGGCAAAGTATTTGATAGAGGCTACATGGTGGGATTTGAAAATGTGTAATTGTTGTACGTTAGTTTTATTTTGTTTGGTCTATGTATTTGACTGTTATTAATGTTTATTTTATTTTATTTTACCTTTTATTTTAGAGTAAACCAAAGTCAAGCTCAGAAAGTTGGTATGGTGATCATATGGTGTCAGAGGAAACACAAGCTAAGGTGGGCATGTTTGAAATTTTTGGAGTAATAAACGCATTCAAAAATGTCTACACCATTAGGGAAAGCAAGTTGAGAGATAACTTTTGATAAAAAATTTAATCTTTTCACTGTGTTGCAGTCACATATAGCTTGACTTGTGGCTTGTGCTTTTTATATGCAGAGACAGAAGTGACTGAATATAGCTACCACTTGATTAGTTTTAGGTGGAGCAGTAGGTGGAATTTGTAGGAGTCTGCCACTTCCATTTTCAGACAATGCAAAGTCAATTAAAATATGTCTAAACTATTTGTGTCATGCTGCACACACGCGATGAAATGACTTCAACTCTATTCACTGTTATTTCAGATCCATGGCATGAAGCTGATCTGCCGGTGGCTGCTTGGGTTAAAGACCAATATGAACAACCTGGGCCAGTCTACACTCAGGTTATTACACACCTGTATCATACATGACGGAGATCTCATGGAGAGGGGAAATATCAAGTAAGTAGCCTTGAACATTGAACAGTGTATACAATGACAGAGCAGGATTGCACACTGTCAAGCATGTAATGCAGGATTCTGAATGAGAAACGAGTCAATAAAAGTTCAAATAGAACTCTGTAGCCATTATAAAGGTTTAAATCATCGAAAGATAATCACTGAAGAAATGATTACTCAAGGTGGACGTATTCTTACATGAGCCAAGGTTGATGATAAGGATTTCTTGTGTGGCAAATTATATGTCCCGTCACTTTACAGTTATCAGTATATGCTCTAAAAAGATTTAAAATTCTTAAATATTACAGTACTATATTCTGAAAAATGACTGTTCTTAGATTTTATGCTGAGGTGTAATTGATCACTTCACATGATTTTTGTAGCAAACCAGAGACCAGTCGGTTACGTCTAGCGGCAGGATGTTGCATGCTGAAGCTGGCCCAAGAGAATGTTTTCGCAGAGCTAATCACTCATGAACAGTTCCAAGCTTTAGCTTTGCTTATAAATGTAAGTATTCGTTTAGGTTGTTCTAATTCAGTAGACTAAGCAAAATTGGCCATATTAATTGGCCATGAAGCCACAAATGCTTTCCAAAGAAAACCATTATACACAATGGTCACATTTTTTTTTCCTGATTCTGTTATGGTGCAAGAACTAAATAATTTCATAGAAATGGAAGTATAATGCACTCACAAGTTTGTTGTCTTGCTTCCTTTAAAACCTGTAAACTGGATAATCTCTTATTATCATTATTGTTGTTGTTGATATTATAATAACTATATTTAAATTTCTAGACTGTTTCCTGAGGGTGTGCTCTTTGTTACAAAACTCCACATTTTTCTCCTATATTTTACCATCAGGATAGTTGTTTTGAAGTTCGAGCGAGGTTTGCCCAGAAATTGCACAAAGGTCTGTATTCCATGAAACTTCCACTTCGCTACATGAGCATCTTCTCCCTGGCAGCCAATGACCCATTCAAGGAGAGAAAACAGGCAGTAAAACAATACATCTCTCTAAACATACAGAAGAGGAGGGAATATATAAAGCAGCACTCGGCAGCCGCAAGTGAGTATAAACAGATCCTTTTCTGACTTAGTTGGGAAATCTTTTTGTTTATTTTTTTCTGGTTGAGAATTAGGGGTCTTCATATCTTCACTATATGAAAAAAGGGAGATTTTAAAAATATACTTTTTAAAGATAAAGCACTTAATACTTAGTGACAGCAAAGTTACAAAGGAGTTTTTCATTTTTACTTTAATATTTGAAAAGTCATTGCAAAAAGAGAAAGTAAATAGTAATGGAAAGTGAAAGATGAAGTAAAATTGTTTAAATCTTGTGGGCATATTTTTATCATTGTTGAATCCTGAGCCTATTTTAACTGTTTTAAAATCTGTTAATTTTTGTTTCAGACAAGCTGTTCTCCCTCTTGCCAGAGTATGTCTTACCTTATACCATACACCTGCTAGCTCATGACCCAGATTTGACAACTTACAAAAATGTACCAGCTCTCATTAACATCAGGGAGTAAGTAGACTAATAGTACACTCTGTGTGTGTGTGTGCGCGCGCGTGTGTGCGCACCTGTGTGTGTGTGTGTGTATGTGTGTGTGCCTATGTGTGTGTGCATGCATGTGAGAGAGAGTGGGTTGGTTTGTGTACAAAGTATGAATTTCTGCTAGAAGTGATCTGCTTCTGTTTGTGTTTGGGTGCATGTGCATGTTTACATATGCACAGTGTACATGATATCAATTTGTAAGCTATTAGCTGTTGAACAAATCTAGTAGTTACATACCATTTAGATGTATGTAGTCTGTCATGAAACTACTGAATAAATCTTGTTACATGTCATTTCAGATGTCTGTGGTTTGTTATGGAACCTCTGATTAAATCGGAGAACCAGAGCTATAACTTCTTCAGGAAAATCTTCGAGATGATCAAGCAGACAAGGGATGCACAGGGACCCACTAATGAAGAGATGAATTGCGTAAGTGATTTTTTAGAATTCCCCTAAATTATATATTTGAAAAACTGATAACTTTAGATTTTTTTCTAGTTTCAAAGTTCTGGTGGTGTACAAAAGCATGTGAAAAAATTGTGAATTGTTTGATAGACTTACAAATTATCATGATGTTTCAAAGTGAGCCAAATTTGTTTTTAAAAGAGCTTACTGTTTTCTTTTATTTTGTATTAAAATTAATTGGTAACGATGATGATGATAGTAATGATATTTATTTATTTATTTTTATTTTATATATTTTTTTATATTTATTTCATCCTACAGAAATTGTATGCAGTGTGTGACTTGGGCCATGGGCTCCTAATTTCCAAGTCCACCAACTTTGTGTTCAAAGATGGCCCAGCCAAGCCTGTGCTGCCAATGAAGCTGTTTAGTCAGGCAGATGAGGTGAGACAAAATTTAAGAAGAATGTTATTTTTCGTTAATCAACAGCTAGTATTGAATTGTAGTTTACCTCCAATATGTCACTGCCTAATTATCATCTAATTCTCATGGAATTGCTCTACATAGACACTTTATATCCAGTTTTTTTTAGTTAACAATCACTGTACAAGAGCTCAGAATATTTTAGAAGTCTGCAATTTTGAAATGATACATTCGGTATCAGATTCTGTGGTATTATTTATTATCATTGAATCATTTTCACAAGTGATACTTAGCGTGAGGATTGGCTTTGCGTAAAGACCCAAAATGTAGTCCACTTTGATGCAAAGTGAATCAATAAGTCCAATTAAAACAAGTATTTTACCTGTTTTATAACATTTTTAAAGGAAAATGGTCAGTGGTACTTGCTGCTTCATTTCTGTTATACAGGACTAGTTATTTTAGAATTATCTAGAGTAGACCCAAATTTGTAGTCTTAAAGTTAACACCAATTTTCAAATTTCTTTCTAAAACTGGTCCTTCGTAATATTCCTATAGGTTAACTTAATTTTATGTTTCATTTAAATTTTATGTTTCATTTAATTTTCATTACACTTTATCTTGTGCAAATTGTTCTTTTTATATAAGCATTTATGATATCTGAATATTTTTTTTCTTCGGCAGAACTTCCACAACACCAAGATTTACCTGCCCGATGAACTTTTGGTTACTGAAGCTAACAAGGTTGGGTTTTTGACATATATGATTCAAAGTTAATAGTGTTTGTTTGTTAGTGTGTGTGTTGGGTGATAAATATCAATGAATATACATATTGCATGTTCAAAGAGACAAACAAATAGATTTATACAAAGACATTGATTTAGTATCAATTGTTATTATAAAATGTGTTTGTTTTTAGTGTTTTGAGCAGTACACGCTATATATAATCTAAACTTGGACTTAAATTTATAACAGCTTTCCCATGCTGTATTGCCAGGAGTTCCATAAGTGTTACAAAAAGTACAGTTGTGTTTTTTTATGTACAGACACAGATGTGTCTGTACATATAGCCATCATCTGCGTCTGTCGTCGCCGTCGCTGTCGCCGTCGTCGCCGTCGCCATCGCCGTGCACTTTTACCGATAACACGATAAGTGGAAAACCATTTTACCTTTTGACTTGAAACTTGCAGAACTGATGAATATTCATAATACGCAGGTCAAGTTCAAAAATCAGCATGATCGGGTCACTTTTAGGGAATTTATGCTGTTTTTTCACTTTTTTCAGCATGTATGCAGCACCGATAACACGATAAGTGGAAAACCATTTTACCTTTTGACTTGAAACTTACAGAACTGATGAATATTCATAATACGCAGGTCAAGTTCGAAAATCAGCATGATNGTGTTTTGAGCAGTACATGCTATATATAATCTAAACTTGGACTTAAATTTATAACAGCTTTCCCATGCTGTATTGCCAGGAGTTCCATAAGTGTTACAAAAAGTACAGTTGTGTTTTTTTCTTATTTGCCTCCCTCCACCATATGCCTAGTTTACAGCATATCACAATATGCCTTGCATATGTTTTGAAACTGATTCTGACTGACCCTAGGGAGGATACAGGCAATCAAAAAGTAGCCGTAAAAGGACAATCCCTACATATTACTTCTGGTTATGTTTAAAAGATGTATGTGTTATGATCACAGCAGAAACCAATGAGTTGTTCTTGGTCATTGCATGCAAATATTTCTGTCATTGCAGAAGAAACCAGCAATTGCCCTGTCAACAACCCAGGACAATAAAGTCCAGTCACCAGTGGTCAACAAGAAGGCCAAAACAAAGGCCAAAGGTGACAGTAAAGCTTCCCCTGTCCCCAATGTGAAGGAGAACAAGGAACCAAGCAAGAAAGGGAATGCCAAAAAACAAACACCTAGCAACAAAGGTGGTGGAAAGAAGGGGGCCAAGAAAAAGGTTGAAGAGGATGAAAAGGATGCTGAGGAAGAGGAGGAGGAGGAGGATGAAGATGAGGAGGAGGAGGAGGATGTTGAAGAAAAGTCACAGGAGACTGGGACAAGAAGTAGAGGGAGGTTGGTGCTCGTTTTTAAATTGAACTTAGTTTTGGTGGCTTTTCAATAAGTGAGGAAAGCACTTGTAATGTAAATGAAGTGACAGTTAAATGGACTCTCCTCTAAAACTCAATTTTGAAAAAAAAGAGAGAATTGGGTGATTTTGTTTGTTTGAACAAAAAGAAAAGGGGGGGGGGGAGAAAAAGTTATTTGTTGAATAAATTGAGTATTAATCTGAATGAAAGGAAGAAAAAATTATAACTTGTTATTTTAACTTACAGGAAAGCACCAGTCAAGTCGCCTGTTAAATCTCCTGTGAAATCAGTCAAGAAAATGGACAACACAAAAGGGAACACAAGTATAAAATACAAACAAACAAAACTGACAGACTTGAAAAATAAAAATCTTCAAAATAAGGGAGCAACGTCTCCTGCCAAGAATTTGTCACCAGACAAAAAAACTGTCAGGGCACCCGTTAGAGGTAGACCGGCAAAAACAAATGCAAACAAGTCCCCAAACAAAACTTTGAAAAAGACACCAATAGGGGCAAAACTTAAACGGAAAGTGCCCGCTAGTCCAGCATCTAGTTCAAGGTCATCAAGATCATCTCCAAGGTCAGAGGGCCCTGGAATTAGGTCATCTCGACGTGGTTCGCCTGCTTCTTCACCTAGTCCAGTGAAAAGATTAAGAGGAGTACCTGCTTCATCGCCAAAACCAGCAAAAAAGATAGCAATTAACAAAAATATCAGGTATATTACAATACTACCAGGTTTCAGATGGTTTTGTTTGAACTTGTTTTGGGGAAGAAGCTATGATAAGATAAGAAAAGACTGTTATTATATATATATGTACTAAATATAAACCGCTATCTCTATGTTATTGTCATGTTGCTACAATAACTTGAGAACTGGACACTGTAGTACTTTCTACTTGCTGGAGTAATTTCCATGGCTGAGATAGAGCTTCTAAAAGTGGATCTCATTTGATCATTACCAGAATATATACTTTTGCTATGATTCTTGCAAATTGCATTGTAGCTGGGAAATTTGAAGAAATATCCCCTTGCTATCACAAAAAATATATGATATATATTTTGATGTGAAACCAATTTCATTAAATATCCATGTTTTTGTTTCTGTTGAAGGTACTGAAATGTAGAAACTGAATTTACTTTCTACCTGTCGGCTAATGTGAACTTCTTGAACTGAAATAACTTCTTGTATATCCAGGAAAGTAACCAAGAACTTGAGTCCTGATTTTACTGTTAATTCTGATGGCAAAGTGTCGTCGCCATCAGAGGTCAGCAGCACCAGGTCTTCGCCAAGAAAAGCCCCTAGTGACAGTACCAGGTCATCGCAACGAAAACGTCAGGCAGATTCTTCTCCAGTGAAAGGCTCCCCAGCAAAAAGGTACGAACAGGTTGCACTCGGAGAAGTTCTTATGTTGATTTGATTTTTAAAGGGATCCCTCTTGAGATTTTGAATTTGCCAAGTTGAATTTCCTCGAAAAAAAATTTACACGCAAGTTTTTGCTTTAAAGCTGAACTTGGATTAGTACCGTTTTTGATTAAATAGTTTAGTTTTCAATATATGGCTGTGTTTTTACACCACCATGTCTTCCTGTACATTTTTGAAAGAAATATTGATATCAGGAACTATCATTTTAAAGGTTTTATCATTTGTAAGATATGAATTGAGAAAGATTAGTGATTTGCAGGGTACGTAGACATAGAAAATTTGAATTTGGGACATTTTCAAATGCATATATTATACCTATAAGTTTGTCCTAAGTTATCTATATTACTCACATAACAGGTATTATATTATATGTATGCTATGTTGTACATGAAGTGCAGTGCTGTACATATTTTGTAATAAAGTTTGTCATTTTACTTTGAAAAATGTGGCCCAGTTGGTGTGTGGTGACAGTTGATAAACATGGAAGCTTGTAGATCAGTTTATCTTTTGATTAATTTTTTACTTTAAAAAAAAATTATTTGATTTTTTTACCCTTTTGAAATAGGAGCCGCAATGCAAAGACTGATGATGATGATAATGACATTCCGTCCTCCGGTTCCACCTCTGCTTCTTCCCCAAAGAAGAAACTTCCCAAGGCGCTAGCCAGTATGCCCAAGAAGTCCTATCCAATGAGAGGCAACGTGTAAGTTTACATTGCAGTAGCACCTAAAGTGAACTGATTTACAACTTTTTTAATGTGCAGTCAAAAACGGATTCTTTTGAAATCTTGCAAAGATTTTAAAAATGGGGAAAAAAATCTGGTTGATATTTATGGCAGATCATGCTTTATCTCACAGTGCAGAAAAGACATACTTAACTTAGGTTCTTGCATGATATTAAATCATTTTAAACCCCTTTCATTACCCACCCTTTTTTACCTCCAAAGTCCATGTTTTATGGTTTTCAATTTAAATGTATTCCTGTGTCACAGCGCAGCAAAGATGTGCATTTTAACAGGATTTTTGTCATTTTTTATAACAATCCTGTCTTGGTTTGTGTATGTTATCAGTTTTTTTAAAAATCATTTTCTATACCAATTCTGTGTTGGTGTAGGCGGAGAGGAGCCAGGCTTCCTAACGGCAACACCTCAGATGGGGAGGAGCAAGGCACCCCGTCCACGGACTCCACCCCTTCTCCCAGGAAGAGGAGTGCTCAGCTGGCCAAGGCTATAGAGACAGCTGGGGTGGAGAACGGCACCAGGTCTCCCAGGGTAAATGTTCATATATATATATATATATATATATATATATATATATATATATATATAGCATGAGTATTGGGCACCCCAGGTGCTTACATTATCAGTATTTTGTGAAAAGTTCCACTTTCATTTCTGATGCAATTGTTCTTGTCATTATTGTGTGGTTTTCATAATTAGACATAGAGATAAAAGCTTTGGATACATGCAGGATATCATTGATCTAGCTGTTTTAAAGAATATGTGACAAATTTGAGTTGTTAAGTGGTGTCTGTTGTTTTCCAGGGCTTGCGAAGGACAGCGGCTCAGAAAAGAAAGAGATGAATTTATGATTAAGAAAAAAAAAGTCTGGAAGGTTTTTCACAATAAGAAACAAGGATTATCTTTGGAGAGAGATGTTTTGACGTCCACAAGCAGTGATTATACAAATAGATTGAAGATTTTTTTTTTCCAAAAGTGAAATGAGACAGAAACGAAAACCTTGAAAAGAAGATTGAAAATGGTTCATTGGAATAGCAAAGAAGTGTTTGTTCATCTTGGGGAAAAAATAACAGAACATGTAAAAGATTGTGGTCATAAGCACTGGACCTTAACCATTGTCCAGGACATTGTAGTTCCACTAAACTCCTGCTTTATCCAACTATGTCAGAAAATTTTTTCCTAGAATTTAAGTTGGGTGCTTTTTATACTCGTATATATTTGACATAGAATATATATTCTGAACAACCTGGCTTACATTAAAAGTGGAGATAGCTTTCTCGGCTTGATTTGCAGTTTTGGATATACCTATGCCCAACTGCACAATAGACATCATTTTTTTAAATTTTAGTCAAATATGTAGAAATAATCTCAATCAAAATAAAAATTTAAGCTACTTCATTGGCAATAGCCAAGTGTTGGGAATTTTATTCAGTCACAAAGTGTTTATGTTATGCAAGAATGTGATTTGTATTTCTTCCAAGTTTTGTTCCTGTTACTGGTTATTCTTGTCTAATGCAGAATTCACTGCCTAAATGAAATTGATGCACCAATTTAGTTATATGCACCTATTGCCCAAGATAATGTCTTTTATAGTGCCAGGCTTCATAAAAAAATTACTCATTGAACAATAGTATAGTAAACAGTAGCACCTTTTCCTTCCAAAGAAGGTAACAGTATATGAAAGTTATTGAAACCAGTAGTCGTTATTTACAAAATGCTTTTCGAATTTTCTTGGAGCTGCAAAATTCTCCTCGATTTCCAAGTTTGTACCCATAGCATGCAGTACCTTCTCTGAAATTCTGACATACCTGGACAAATTCTTGGTGTTTTGAAAAATGCCCTCAATTAGAAGCGTGATATTCTGATGCTTAAATTGCTGAGAAAATTAAACCAACAGATCAAGAGGATCCTCTGGTTAATGCGTCTTCAATTTAGCTTTCCAGTAGTTTTCAGGTTAGGTGTCCCCACTTTTATGACATGAAAAAGGAGTATATGAATTTGTGGAAAGGCCACTGTAATTTGTGCATATGTTTGTATATATGTAAATGTTCAGATTTTTATTACACAAAGTACGTTTGTATGCAGTTTTATAGACTCTTCTTACAAGTTGCTGATTTTAAACATTTATTTCATAGTTATTGTCAGTAGTTACAACTGAATTAAATATATTTAGATATAGACTACATGGCCCAGTGTCTTACATTTACGAAGAAAAATTTTGTCAATTTTTTTTCCATTTGGGTTCACAAATTGGGCTCATCTTCTTGGGAAAATCTGTGAATTATAAGCTTTCATAATGTGCAGCCGTAGTTGTGTTAGTTGTGACAATGCTCACTACCACGATGTACTAATGTTGTTAAGGTTGGCCATTTTTACTGATAATAAAATTCATATTTGCAGTATTCTGCCTTGGTTTTCTTCATTTACCCAGCATTTCGTGCTCAACTGTTTTCTGGAATGATTTTGCAAGTTTAATTTGTATGTACAGCTAAAAAGTTTTTTGGAAGCTCTAAATTACTAGTATGGCAAATTTTTATACTGCCAAAGCTTGCTCCACACTAATTTATATGAGACATACTACCGATACTCGTTCACAAACCACTATCAGAAGTTTGAAAATTGATCCACTTTACTGTGTGCTGACTTCATAGAAAACAAATATGCACAAATGTGTGCATAAATCATCCTCGATTGAAAGCCAGTTTATTGAAAACCACTCATTCTTGTCCAGGTCTCCTTCAGGCAGTAAGCATTTTAATGTAACTATGAAAGGATTCATCATTTATTATAAAACAAAACACCACAATTGTTTCTAACATAGAAAATGTGCACACATTTATTTGAGAATTCAAGATGGAACACATTTTTGTGTGCGCTATATGTACAGACATGATTCATTCTATATTCAACTAGAATTAACAAAAGCTGCATGGAAGTCCGAAGAGGCACAATAATAATAAAATAAAAAGAAAAAAAGGGAGGGGCAGAGATTCAAAATAATCACTGGCTAAACATTCTGCTAAAAATTATAGCTACTATCTGCCATAAACTCATCAAATAATAATAATAAAATCATTTTTATTCAACCTAGCTAAGCTAATTTTCGTGAAAAATATTATAATCATTTACTTACATTACAACATGCCTTCGGTACAAACCAACATTTTAGACTGCCCAGAAGATGGACCGGACCTTCCTCCTTATTTCATGCACACACATATATTAATATTTTTTCTTACAAAACATTTTATATCATATCTAAATGATGGTTGCAAATGATGGGGGGCATATACAATCCAATATCTTACAGCCTCTTTCATCATATCCATGCCTGTCTTTTTTATTATTATAAAATAAAATATTTGTTATGCAGTAATAAAACATTTGTTTTTTGAAAAAATTCATCTTGAAAATGTGAATAGTAAACTTTGTACAGAAACACAACGACGTCCTTGTGTTTTTTTGACTTTCTACACGCTTTGTACATAAGTTAAAACATCTCTTACTACGTGGGGATTTGGAAGTTGCTTTTTTCTCTCTTATTCGTCTCATACTAATAGGACCTGCTATAAACTCTCCACGTATCTCTGTAATTTGTCCTGAGCCGTGAGCTCGGCCATGTTATTGTCCTGTTGTCCCATGTTCACGTTAATGTCCGGGTTGGGGGGACTTTGTAACTGTGACAAATTGCCATGCTGTGACATTTGCATCTGTGGAAGCATCACCTGATCCGTGTTCATTTGGTCTAAGGGGGCCCCCCATGTTGGGGTGAGGGGAATGGGTGGGTGGAATATGATGTGGGGATGGTTGCGCCCCCCTGGGAGAGGGTGTGGGTTGGGGGTGGGGCGACAGATTTGGCTGTGGAGAACGCACTGTCTGTGGCAGGGAAGAAGGGGGAGAGCGCACCTGCTGCATAAGCTGAGCTGGGTTCCCCTGTTGAATCAACTGTTGCTGTGCTGGGCTCATAGGCCCTAGCTGTTGCTTGTATTGCACCTGCTGTTGATGCCTCGCTTGAAGCATCTGGTTTTGCTGGTACTGTTGCAGCATCTGCTGACTCACTTCTCCCTGAAAGCTGTTCTGTTGGGGGTAGCCCATCCGTGGCCTCTGGGGCTGAGCAAACTGTGGAGGCTGGGGCTGCTGAAACTGTTGTTGCTGCTGCTGTTGCTGTTGTTGTTGCTGCTGTTGCTGCATTTGCCTCATACGCACCCACTGCTGTTGTTGTGGTATTGATAACCCTTGAGGCGGACCTCCAGGCATCGTTTGCATTTGCTGCTGTTGTTGTTGCTGCTGCTGCTGCTGTTGTTGTTGTTGCTGCTGTTGCTGAGCACGCTGCTTGATTACAGCAGCCATAAGTTGAGGGTTTGATTTCAGTATGGCCAGCACCTGCTGCTGCTGTTGCGGCGACGTTGGCGACTTCAGCGTCTCTAAAAGTTTCTGCAAAGCAGATCTCTGTGGGTTTTGTGTGAGCCCTGCTTGCCCCTGCATGTTGGGGTTTTGAGGATGCATCATTCCTCCTTGAGCTCCCTGCTGCATGGGGCCTGGTTGTGGCTGTCGCGCCCCTGGATTCACATTGTACATCGACCAGCGATTTATTGAAGGCAATCCCTGCTGCTGCTGTTGCTGCTGTCCTGGCTGTGGCTGTTGAGGTTGCTGTTGTGGTTGCTGTTGAGTTTGCATTGGGCTGGCAACTTGCTGCATACCCATTGGACTGGGTTGGTTCATCTGACTCACTTGAGGTTGAGGCGGGGGCATTCCAGGCTGACTGATGGTGGTTGGCTTCCCAAAAGGAGGGACCGCGGCCTGGCGTTGGGCCTGCACCAGGGCCTGTTGGGCGGCACTCATCGCCCCTGGTGGAGGGCCACTGGGTTTGCCTCCCCCTGATCCATTGTAAGTGGTTTGAGGTATAGGGGCCGGGGCGGGTTGAATACTTGGAGTCTGACTTACGGACTGCTGCATTGTGGATGGACCTCTGTTCATTAAGGCCATTCTTCTTCTCATCATCTGAGCTTGTTGTAGTCTTTGCTGAAGTTGTTGTTGTTTTAGTTTGTGTTTGATATTCAAACAGAATGGCACAGGGCACTTTGTTTCCTGGCAATGTTTGGCATGATAACAACAGAGTGCAATAAGCTGTTTACAAATAGGACAGCCCCCATTAGTCTTTCTTTTGCAGCTTTTTGTGTGTGCCACCACACGCTTCATTTTCTGGCAGCTAGGGAGGCGACAGTTTGCATCTCTGCACTGACAAGCATGCACCAGTGACTGAATACACCTCTGAATGGAGAGCCTGCGTGACTCCTGGGGATTCTGCTGCTTTCCTGAATCACCTGGACCGTCATCCAGATCCAAGCCCAACTTGTCCATCTTGTGTTCATGACCATCTTTTTCATAGCACTGTATACACAAGTCATAGTCCTGAAGATGGAAAAAATACAGAAATCCATGAGTCATGGAAATAATTGACTATTACACAATGCAGATATTTGTTGTTTGTGTTTACAGTTAGAAAATGATAAATAAAATAAATTCAAATGTCCAAATAACTTTTTAATTGCTGCAAAATCTTGCATAAAACAGGATAACACCACTCAAACCTTTGACACAAAAACCAGAGCTAACAATAAAATTTAAAATGAAATAAAATGCACAAATAAATAAATAAATAAATAGAACTTTCATTACAATATATTTTTTCTTTGTTTAGCATAATTCATATAAGTAGGGCACTTACATCACAAATGCTGCAATGGTATCTGGTTTCCACCTGTGCCTTGCAGTTGTTGCAAGTGTACACAAAGTTATCCCTGCCTGTGTTATGGAGTTCATACAACAATGCCATGGTAGAGTATTTGGCTCTCCTTAGCGAGGAGAATTCAAAGTGCTTTTCCCTTGCCATGGTCAGGAAGGCATCGCGTCCATCCATTAAGTCGCAAGAGCTCATGCCATCAGGGTCGACAATCGGACCCAACGTAGCTGCCACTTGGGCGGAGTGGAGACGGATCACAAAGAACACCTGATATTAAAGAAATAAGATCTGTCACCTCTATATCTTCACTAAACTCAACATGCATACTAAAATAGAGCATGCCAAAATTCTTCAAATCTCCATTCATGAAGCAATAGGGAAAAAGTATTTCAAGATTATCTACTTGAGACCTCTGTTAATTTTCTTCACAAGCCAGTCCGTATAGAACACACCCACCCACTGTTATGTGCTGCTTGAGTATTAAGTACTTTTATTTTATAGACTGCATGCGTGTACATATCTATGTTACTGTTTGGCCGCCACATTAACATACATGCCACCCATAATTCTACATTTCTTCAATTTCAGGGCATATTTCATTGGCACTCTTGTCCTCCGGTATAGAGTTACAGTAAAATACAGCAATGCCAAAACATTCTAGCCATACCTCCTTATGCTTTTCCATTGTCTGGAACAGCTTGGCGGAGAGATCGCTGCCACCTTGTGGGTAGTTGGACTTCTTCACATTTTTGCGTTGGTTGCTCTTTGTGTTCTTGGCTTTCTTCTTCTGGTTCTTCTGCCCCTTTTTCTTACCCTGAGCACCCTAGGGACAGAGCATTATATATCACATTAAAATGGACAACTTAAATCTGTTGTATGAAAAAGAAGCACTAGTGAAATTCATCTGTGCAGCAGAGATTATAGTCCCAGGCAACTAACAAGATCCCCACTAACTCTGGGACAGAAAGTAATTGAGCAAGAAGCTTAACTGCACTCAATTTAAGTGCCAAGGTTTCTCAAAAGGACTGGACCACATCACTGATACTCTGATTCCAGTGTCACAGACTGTAAAATGTAAATTAGGTGTATCATCCCTGGGTATTACCCATCTACCTACCTCAGCACCGTCCCCATCTAGGTCAAGATCCACGCTATCTTCAGCTGCTGCAGCCGCCTCCGCCGCCTCTCTCTTCACCCTTTCCTCTTCCTCCTGGTCCAGCTCCTTAATGCTTTCCTCCAGCACGTTGGGCCAGAAGTCTCCCTCAAAGTACGGGATCTCAGTGGCACTCTGAATATTGTTTTCTATTGCATCCTTTAGTATATCCTATGTAAAAACAAGCAAATGATTACCAAAGCAACTCCATTATCTCCTATAATTACTGTGACATGAAAACATGAAATAATGTACATTCATTGCTATAAACAAATATTTTTTTAACTGTTTTTTTTTTCACAAAGAAAAAAGTCAAAAGAAGTTAAAAAGAATCTGAAGTTGAGATAAACACCACCAACAATAATCCCATTGTTCTTACTTTGTAATCTATGACCACCCTCTCAATGATGGCTTTGTCCAGCATCTTCTTATACCACTCTTGCAGCCTCTTGGGTTTGGGAATCTTCTGTTCCGCCGGGTGGCAATGGAAGATGTAGTCATCCCCCTCACTTGGCGGACATGCCCAAATGTGGGCCATGGTGTACCTGGAAACACACACCCAGCTCACTTCAGTCTAAATAGGCTAAATAATTCCCAAAAATTTTTAAGTAAGAAGTTTTTAAGATATCTAATAACCTTCTGAAAAAGAGTACAGTCTTGTTGTTAAAGTGAAGACTATTTAGACCTCCAAACAAAAGCATTTCAAAACTGCTGGCAAACAAATCTTTCTTTATGTCACTCACCCCAGACTTTTCACATAATCTAGGTATCCGATTAGGATTTCATGATACACCGCGGTCCTGAACTGGCGAGGTTGGAAGAAATGAACACTGTCAAGGTAAGATATGTACACACGCCTGGAAAAAAAATGTATTCCCATTAAATTGTTATATTTCTAAACAGTAGAGTCACAAATGACATGACTAATGACAAAACTTTTTGAGATGTTTTCAGCTCGTCGTGTACATGCAGTTCACAACTCATATTTGTATAATTTGTGATGATACAAATGAATTTATTCAAAATTGTTTTGCTTTTCAAAAGAAAATTGATATGATTGCATAGGGCTTATAACTTAATGCCAGGCACTTCTGTTTATTGGCTTTTACACTAGTCTCTTTCATCTAGCTTCAGAAAAGCTGCATTTTACAAATCGTTCATCTTTTCTTCAGTTCTTTTAAAAACCATATTTATGCCAAAGAATGGCCTCAGCATGGTGTCCAGATCAAACCATGTGCCAAGCTTACCTTGTATTTGGCTGAGGACAGTCAGAGGAGTATTCCTGCACGTGCATCCCAAAAAAGCAGACATCGGTGCCATCGATTTCTTCAAATGCAAACATGGCTTTCGTCCTGTATGGGAAGGAATCTGGGATATCATTCCCAAACCTAGAACAAAGAAGACAATGAAAAGTAATACAGACAATATATCAATGCATTTATATATCTTTGTTTGCTTGTTTGTTTATATGATCAAACCAGAGGAGGGCCCTCACTTCTGAATAAAATAGATATTTCTTCAACAGTATAAACTCTCAAACACAAAGTAAATTGATTCATACTAAATCCCACCCCAAGGCATTATTCTTACACTAAAACACTGCACACTCATTTCAGCACTGATCATGATAAAAAGGTTAAATTAATGCTTTAAACTATCGCAGCTGAATTCCAGATTAGTCTGGAGCAGCACTCACCTGGCCTTCATTCCTGGCTTCACTTCCACCACTTTGTCCAATGCTGACAGCACCCTAATGGTCACCTCACCCGCACCAACATCTTTCTTCTTTAAGAAATTGTTCACTCTGTTCTCCAGGTAAAAACCAAGTTTTGTGTTTGGAAGCTCTAGATATGGGGGAAAGAGAGAGAGAGAGACAGGTTAACAAACAGCAGACGTGTGTACACAATATGTGCATAACTATCAATAAACAAATATATAAATAACATTTTATCCAATCTACATAAATTTTGCTATTAAGGTTCTTAATAGGCTATAATTTCTATAATGCTTGTGACTAACAGGTATTTATGTTTGCAAAGCACAGAATAACACTTATACAACATTTTAAGTGTAAGTATTTATGAGGATAAGAATGATTTTGTCTCATTGTTTGAATGTGTACAGTCATGCTGAACAAATCCAGAGTTCAATCTTATTTAAGGCAAAGAAGTAAACATCTAACCACAGATAATGTTAAACACTGCCCCCACTCCCAAATGCCAGTACAAATGTGTAAACTTGCACAGTTACTTGTCACTATTACTACTTTAGACTACCAGTTCCTTGGACTGTTTGTGGCCCAAACTGTAAGTAACTTACTTTTGGCGCTATATTTGTTTTCTTTTCTCCGTGTCCCCTTAGCTTTATGACAGTTGTCACATGTGTATCCATTCGGCCAGATTGTGTCCATGTGAGTAACACAGATTTGGTGAACTTTCCGTCCACAGTCATTGCACTCAATAAATCTGATGTGGAAAATGAAAAATGGCAATTAACATATTACTAATAAGATTAACAAATTAATATATCTTTAATAGATTGAGGATGGCAGCCCTCCCTCCCCCATTGTCTAATCATTACATTGATACATGAGCACACCCCCAAATTTCATCATTCAAATTGATGTAATCATCGCAACAACAAAATATATTCACGTTAAACCTTTGGATAATGTCAACTGGTTAAAACAAAAAACTTTAACTCTATCATTCCTTATAACTTTAATAGAAGGGCAATTTAATTACATACAATACACTGTGTCTGGTAATAACAACTCTATAGTCAAGACATAATGAGATATTTCAGCATTAATGTTACTACAGCTATCTGTCATGGAACACTCACGGTTCATAATCTAAATTGTCGTTCTTCAACTTCACAAATTGATCCTTCTTGATGCGACTGAAAATGTAATGGTTTATTATAAAATAAATGTTCTCTGTTGAAGCATGACACACTAAAACACATGCCCTACTGCACTAGGTTGTTTCTTTTCATCACAAAGGAAAAAGCATACTACATGGCATTTAGAACAGTTCAAGCTATGGAACTTTGCAGTTTCTTCAAAATATGGAATAAGTTAATCCCGATATGATTGATAAAGTGGTGCATTTTTCATATGATAAAGGTGTTGTTGACCATCATTTGGCAATTCCAATAAAAACGTTTAAATTAACATAAATGGGCTTAAAACTTGCGTATTGCCAAGTCAGAATTAATTTGGTATAAATCAGAAATCTTTGAAAAAAAATATTCCACCTACTCTCCATTTTATAACAATAATCAAACTGTATAACAAATGCAGAAAAAGTGAATGAGAAGATAAAACAATTTCTACTCACATAATTGGCTGTGATGGGTCGTCAGAGAGCTCGACATCTTCACCTTGAATCTCATTGAAGCACTTCTCGCAGAAAGTGTACCTAGTGTTTAAAAGTCCAGATTTGAACTGACTGCTTGGGCAGCAGAAAGGGCAAACGTGAAGGACACCACAACACATAGGCACAAGACAAACATGGGAAATAAAAGAGAGGGAGAAAAAAATAATAAAATAAAACGTTAGTATTTGCAATAAATAATGGTCATTCTGAAAGTTATGTTAACTGTCACCAATGAAAAAAATTGCATTTAAATTAAATAATCGATTAATAATAATATATTTATGCATAATCATAATTGCACTATATGGGGCAAAACTGAAATATTTGCTTTACATATAATATATCTCATTTCATTAACAGAAGGGTTAACTGCTGTTTTCATTCAACCTTGCCATAACCCAAGCATTCTGAAGTTCATTATGTAACTTTTTTCTATATACTGTCAATATTAAATCAGCAGAAGAGACCTGTCACCAAAGAGGGATAAGTATAGATTTGTTACCAAAAAGTGATGACATCCCAGTGACTTGGTGAGTCATAGAAATCAAATGTGTTAGTTTAAATAAAGTACATTCACAAAATTAGTTTTAATATGATCTAAGATAAGAAAAAAAAAAGACAGAACAAAACAAGACAGAACAGATGACAAGCAAACCACACACAAGGAAAAAAGAATTAGTTTCCATAAACACATTAAAAAAAGCCTATATGCATACAATTAAAAGTTCACTTTAATCATGTTAAACAGAAAAAGGGAGCACACCAAAGGAACAGAGAGGGAAAAAAGCTACTGAAGAAAAACATGTTACTTATTAACAGAAATATTTACAGACAGGCAACATTACAATATTCATCTTAGGAATCTTAAGAATAACTTTTACCTGTCTGAAAAATTTCATTTTTTTTTTTTAGTACTACAAGAGTGTTATGATGCTATCAAGGGAAACTGGTAGTTTCTGATGCTTCAAAATGCAAAAATCCATAAGACCAACCCCCTTATCTAAAACTATTAAAAGCATTCAACTACACATTGGAAACTTTTTTTATTACGTAAATGAATGATTAAACAGCAAAGGGTCTGTTCAGACCCGAACTATTTCAGATTGGAAATTGGTCTTTAACATGCTATCAGGAGACCAAACTCAACATCTCCAATCTAAAATAACACTGGTCTGAATGCAGCGAAATAAAAAAATGATGATCTCACCTGTTTTCATAAGCATAATACACAGCATCTCTTGGGATTGTGCAGAGTTGTTTTCCGTAGCAACACAACACTTGGGGACAGAAGACATACTTCCTGCCACAACAATAGCCCAATGACTGCATCACCCCATCAATTTCATTTTCAAACACCTCAGAAAGCTAAAAGAAAAGAAAATGAAAAAGGTTATTATCAGAGCCCTTTCCTTACATGGTTACTGATAATGTAAAAACTTCTGTTTCATTTACATTTAAATGATATATATTTCAATTCTCACAAAATAGATTTTTTGCTATCATGACACATACATTAATGCAAGTTCTTAAATCTTTCTTGGCAATAAGAAGAAAAAAAAAAGGCAAAATATTCTGTAAAAGAAAAAAAATACTATAATCCTTACTGGGGGGAAAATCAAATACAAACAGCAGTGAAGACCTGAAACACTAGACTAAGTACTTGATGATGTGCCATGAAAATCAATGTGCCGTCAACCCCAACACATTTCCCACCCCACTACGATACTTGAGCACAGGCACCGCTTACCTTGGAGCAGTATTTATATACCCGGGAGGTCTTCCTGTTGTAGAGCCAGGCATTGTTGAACATGATGTAGACGTCTTCCACATACTCCCAGGGGTCCTGGTACTGACCAGTGTCCAGCTTGCGCTTGATAGTGGACAGGTCCATGGGTTTCTTTACAATATCATAGTAATCCTGAAGATAAAGGGAGACACTTTAGACTGAGGCACTGACAGCTAAGTCAGTTAACTATTAAAGGCTAGAATTGGCCTACCGTTTCGTGTCTGTGATGAGAATATTTGGGGACAGTTCCACAAAATAACTTATGCCCAAAAATTAGTGTTACATTAAGAACAAAATTCTGGTCTACTTCCATTTAAGATTATATATAGCAGTCAAACTAAATATGACAAAATTCAATTATAAACAGTCAAAAATAATTGAGTTACAACAAAAGATGAAGTGAACTTACTGGTATTTGTAAAAGTATAGGATCCACAGGTTGCCTAAACGGCAATGATTCAGGGTCTTGCCTGTATAGCTTCTCCAGTGTGGGCATTAATGCCTGCCTCAGTTCATCAGGTTTGAACACTTAAATGAAAGAAAGGTTAAATGTTTTGTCATGTTTTCTCTACACATCTATCATATTCCTGTATTATAAAATTTGTTCCAATGCTTTATTACTATCTACTTTCTAAACTTTTTTTCACAAAAATTTCAACAATTTCTCATTCACTCTTCAATACATCTCCAAAACTATTATAACATCAAGTGCATGTCTCGACAACCTTTTCTAGCTAACCTCACAGAAAAATGATCATTTAGCAAACATTTTTTATCCCCCCTTGAAGATGATGAGTAACCCCCGTACCTTTCTTTGTCTTGGGTTTGGACTGGGGTGCTGGAGAGGGGGCCACACTGGGGGGTTTACTATCATTACTGTTCTCCCCACCAGTTGCACTGGCTGTTGACTTGGGAGTGGGCACCTCTTGGGAGCTAGTGTCCTCTTTCACAGACACAGAGGTGGCGCCACCTCCTCCATCCTCGGGCTCCATCTTTCCAGTCGACTCCTGCTTCAGCTCCTTCTTGATCTCTATGTTGCTGCTGTCTGCGTTTGATGCCTGAGACAAGGGGGTTCCTTTCCCACCCTGAGCTGAGGGGGGTTTCTGTCCTGGTTCCACCTTGACTTGTTGGTTTGACTGTAGAGGGGTCTGGCCTGCCTGCATCCCCTGGCCCATCTGTTGCAGTCCTTGTACTAACTGCTGCTTCTGTTGCTGCTGCTGTTGTTGTTGCTGCTGCATGGACTGGTTAGAGCCAGGTGGTTGCTGCTGCTGTTGTTGTAAAGATTGTTGATGTTGTTGGTTTTGCTGCTGTTGCTGTAGCTGTTGCAGCTGCTGCTGCTTGAACTTGAATTCATAAAACAAATTCCCATCAAATAAGTACAGGAAACAAAGACAAATAGAAAGAAATACTTCAGCTTAAAATTTCGATCACTTCAGTTAACAAGCAATATTTCATCGTAACTTAAACATTTCATAAAACAACATGAAAAAAATGATTATTTACCTGCATTTCATTTTTATGCAAAGAAGCTTGTAAAGCCTCCCTTGATTCCTTCAGTGCTGCACTCAGGGTGTTGGAATTGGTCATCCCGCCTTGCATTACCTGTCCATTGTTCCCCTGGGGTCCTGCCAGGGGTGGCCTGGGACCCCCTAAGCTGTTCAGACCCTGCAGAGACCCTGTTCTCTGGAAGGGCGTCGCTGGCGCCATGGAGTAGGGGTCGTTCTGAAGGTTGGGGTTGGACATCCTAAGGTTGGTGTTCATCAGCGGCGGACCGTCTGTAAAATCAAATATTGAGCCTGTGCCCAACACCGAGGTCGATATTATTTCCAAGCCACAACTATCACTCTCACTTTTTTTAAACTCTTGGAACTATAATTTTTTACATTTTATAAAGGCAGTTTAAATTTTCGTCAAATTCTTCTTTTGCAATATTTGGGCAAAGATAAAAATTTTCCATTTACAAGCAACAGGAAACTTTTAAAAGTTTCATCGCCCATGGCAAAGCAACACACACACACAATGCAATATACTTAAATCACAGTGTCTATTTATTCTTACTTTGACTTGACAAGCCCAAGGCTGAATTCAGACTGCTCTGCAACCCTCCACCTTGCTGGTTATTTTGATCTTTGCCCTGCATCCTGGCTTTTCTTTTCTCCTCAAGTTCCTTTTGGATCTTGTAGATTTTCTCAGCTAACAAGTGGTAATACTCTTCTCGGCTGTTTGCTGTTTCGTACATGTCTCCCTCAACTTTACGGGCGTAGGCGACTAGATTATTCATCCTCCTGTCCTTTAATGCTTGGGGATCTGGGGTAGGGAATATTGCTTGAACCCTGGAACACAATGTAGAAAACCTGTTGAATAGAATTGTCAACTTTTCACTTTACCTCTTCAACATTGTTCTTCAAACCTTTATTTAAATGGGCATACGAAATCAAGTTTTAAACTATGTACAGTACACCTATTAAGATGAAGTGAGGATTTATCAATTGATATGAAACTACAGTGACTAAAAATGGATAACAAATGACACTTTATGTCAACAATAACAACAACAAAAACAGCAACAAGGCATACAGGCTACAACTTACAACTTATGCACCAGGTGATTTCTCAAGTCCTGTGTCACATGGTTGTGCCAGTCTTTTGTTCCTTTATTTGTCATGGCTATATTCTGATTTGGTCCAGTCCCCAAAGAACCACTCAGATTACCAGTGCTTCCCATCTGCAGCTGCTGTGAGATAAGGTTGGTGTTTTGGTTCATACGAGCAGCATCCATGGGAGGAGACATTATGCCACCAGTTTGCTGCATTGGACCTGGAAAAATTTCTACAATGAGACACCTTAAGAAAGGAAATTTATCCCCCCTTCCCCTAAAATAATAGATTTTGTTCCAATTCAAATATCATAAGGGTCTAAAAAATAATTATAATTAAAACAATTTCTAGAAATCACAAAACCAGAACTTGTTCAGTCGCTTGCCAGAATCTTTCAAGATCTTCTGTTCTGTCAATATTTAGCTGGAAATATATATGCTGACCATTTCATCACAGCTTGGGATTAATTTCTCCATAACCAACTAAGTAAAAGATTCAACAAAATTCAATATGTCCCAACCACAAGTTCATATTATTCATTAAAAGAAATAAGCCTTCTTTTACCTTGAGAAGTATTGAGAGATGGCCTAAGCTGTGGCTGACTGTTGGGTCCCTGTGAGGGATAGGGGAGACCAAGTGCAGCATAGGCCTTCTGCATCTCAATAGGAGCTGGGCCTTGACTGGATCCTAACAGATTTTGACCTGAATTAGGTCCTGCAAGAGCAGCAAGAACAGATGCTGAAAGAAATTGGGAAGAGTAAAATATGGAAAACATACCTACAATCTGGAAAGCAAATGTATGTCATAAAATGAGTATCTTATATTAAAACTCACCCGTAGTTCTCCTATCTGCTGAAGCATGCTTCAGCGGCAAGCAAACAGGACAATCCTGACGAGTACAATTTTTCCAATGAGATATAATCTGGCGTGAAGATGCACAGTGAGCAACTGAAAAAGAATATTCCAAATGATTCCACAATATCAAAAAGAGTCGGTTGAAAATGTCAGCACTAAAAATCCCTCAATTAATTGTATAAGCATAAAGTTCCATAAAATAAGATGATGCATTTACCCTGACAGTTCTTCCCTGCATTGCAAGTTGTCATGTGATTCAATACATTTTTCATGGTACGACAATGTGGCAGTGTACACTGGCGAACTTCTCCATTGGCTTGTTCACGCCTCTGACATTTGTGTGCATGAAGCAGCAGCACCAACTGTTGTTGGATAAGTTTCCGTTTCTCTGGGTCTGCATGTGCAGTCGGTGGTGCCTGCTGGGTCAAGCCTGGTTGGGGAGCCAGCTGAAATGAAAAGTCAGATACAAATATCTTTAACATAAATACTCAATTACTGTGAGGAATGAAGTTTTAATTGCTTTTTGGTTATAGGCACAATTCTTATAGCTAAGCGAGTATATCTACGGTACACACCAAATTTGTGCCACAAATTAGATGTTGCAGGGAGATAGAAAACTCTTGTTATTCCTAAATTTACAGATGAAATAAAACTGCCTAATAAACAATATGAAACAGCATCAATAATTCATCAAATCAGTCTGCTCTAGAAAACTGTTTGCAGTAGTTGCAATAATTTGAAAATTATCTTTTGTATAACTTCTGTGACCTCTCAATATGAACTTGTCAGTATCATCTGCCTCAACCTTTCACATTTAACATGAATATAAAGAGTAAGGATGTGATCACATTACGTAAATTTCACAAGAACTAATTTCAGAATCTTTTATAGTGTACCTAAACTAAAAGCTTTGGAAAAAAAAGGGGGATTGAAATGTCCCGCTCAGTGCTAGGCCTCTCAACTTTCAACTGATGAAACAAGTTTACTCTGTTGTTTATGACCAATTAATCCAATGAAATGCCTCTACTACAGAGATAATCAATAGAGTGAAATGCCTCGCCTCCTCCTGACATTAAGTATAAAACGGCTCTTACAACTGACAAAACAACTGGGAAAATCACCCAAGGACACAAGCTTGGTGTACATATAGACACACACAAAATTTAATCTCAGTTAGCCAAAAACAGACTTTGGGTCTATACCACAAATTACAAGACTGCCATACTTACTACTCCTACATTGCAAAATAGTAAGCCCAGTCTTACAAAATTAGCTTAAATTGCAAACACACACTTCAGAAGCATTTTGCCTTGCTGGCTCCTAACACCTCTTGTTGAAATTACAGGTCAATTACACCCCATTTCCATAGATTTTTAGATAGATCTATCCCTGTGGGGAGTCTCACAAGGTTACTGTCAGCTTGGCCGGCTTAAGCCTCTGTCCTGCCTACTAAAAGCTGTAAGGGGGTAATTAACTATGGTGTCCGCTCGGCTGACTGCAATTTAGCCTGAACCCCCAGGGAGTTAGGTCGATCTAAAACTTAATCTTTAGATCGATCTAAATCTCTGGGAAAGCACCCTTTGATTGCATTCATTTGACCCTCTACAAAGTCAATACCATACAATAGAGAACCTAACCCTCTTTAATGGAATTAACAGTATGGGGACAATCAAGGCCGCTTATAACACCTTAGTATGCAATATCAACCTAACTCTGATTATTCATATTAACATTATTAACAAATGTCCTTCTATGCCCTCTCTCCATCAGAGCCCTATCAAGGCAAACATTCTCATTTTAGCTGATTTTTGTCCATTAAGTAAATGACAAATTGACTTAAAAACATAATTATTAATTTATTCTTAAGCATTTAGTTTAAGTCCTCAATCTGCAATCTTTGAGTTTAATCATACCTAAGACCAGAAGGTGGTCTACCACACCTTTTCAAAACCCACTAGTCTTAGGAGGAAACTGAAAACAATTGGGCATCTTCCTACTTCATATAACATGCTATACTTATCTGTACAAAATAATTTTACTAATATATATTACTCACATGCAGCAGTACAGTTAATTGACACAATATATTACTTATATTATTTATAAATATACTTTATTTATAAATCACATTAACTATCAAAACATAACCTTTTCAATATATATATTTCATATAAATGCCAGTCAATCTTTAACTTTCAATTCATTATATTATTCACAGTTTTTCAAATTGTCCAAAAGTTAACAGTATCAAGAGTCACAACAACTGAAAATCAAATATGTATACATAACCTTTTTTTATTTAAACCACAGGAGTCAGAGTTTTTCTTCATACAACCTACATGTATTGTCTGAAGGGTTAATGTCCGATTAAAAATTAAAATAAAATAATTTGGCTAAATATTGGAACAATCATATGTATATAAAATGATTCCTGATATAACCCTGAACTAAAGAGACTATTCTCCATAGATCTCATGCCATGTGAGCTACTGCCTTGTCTCACCATTCACTTCCACATGAAAACCAATTCACATGTAAATTCTCAAGACCAACAATGCCTAGTATTAATATGTGGAAAATAAGAACAAACAGTACCCATCCTAAAATGAACTGCCTTTACAACATGTGCTCAGGACAAAGAACAAAGGAGTTTCCCACAGTCAGACACACCTCTTCTATAAATGTTCAAATTAAACAGCAACATAGTTATGAAAGACCCCTTTTGACATTCACATATTTCCATGTTAACATCAATAAGCCAAAGCTATTCCTTTCTTTAGGAAATGCCCCAGATTTAAGAATCTTCTGGGTCTTAAAATACCCAACTACTCTTGCTACAACTATAGTTAGGCTATTCAGTGCAAAGTAAATAGACCTAACATGGCTTCCCCATGCAGTGACCTAGTTTCTCCACACACACCAACTTGGAGTGGGACAGTGGCACAAACAACTTCAAAAACCCATCTTCTGCTCACTGACATTTATCAAAATGAAGATTTTCCACCCAGGAATGAAGTACAGTATCCACTTCAGAAAAATAAACACAATATTCATTTATAATATTAATCTGATGCAGCTTTGGCAAGAATTTTTAATGTCAGCCCCTCCCCTTTCTGCCTCTTGTTCTTCTAGTCTGAGCAAAAGGCAAAAGGCTATTGCTTGCAAAATTGGTCTCTAAATGTTCTGGGTTCCTGACAGCATATACGTTTGTTAAGATCTGATTGAATCTATACCAAAAGCATTGTCCAACTTCAAATTAGATAGGAGACAAAGCAACAAATGGCCTCCAGAAAAAAGCATGACATCCACAGCAAACTCTTAGTTTCTAACAAGTCATTTACCCAAATATGACCCATGCTCCCACTCATATTCTACACTGCCTTGTTTTTTCAGTGTCGGTGAATTCAATACAATTTAAATTAGAGAAGACAAGAAAAACCAAGTCAACAACTACTCCTCTGTACAGTTTTGACTTTAAGTTTTTAGAAAATAATGCTTGGAAAATTACCACAAGCATTTTCCAAAATCCAGCAGAATATTGAAAAAACCTTCCCATAAATGGCATCTAACATTTTAGTAAAGAATATCATCTAACATTAAAAAAAGAACAGAGCAGTAATGAGATAACAAACGTNAAGCAAATCTTTCTTTATGTCACTCACCCCAGACTCTTCACATAATCTAGGTATCCGATTAGGATTTCATGATACACCGCGGTCCTGAACTGGCGAGGTTGGAAGAAATGAACACTGTCAAGGTAAGATATGTACACACGCCTGGAAAAAAAATGTATTCCCATTAAATTGTTATATTTCTAAACAGTTGAGTCACAAATGACATGACTAATGACAAAACTTTTTGAGATGTTTTCAGCTCGTCTTGTACATGCAGTTCACAACTCATATTTGTATGATTTGTGATGATACAAATGAATTTATTCAAAATTGTTTTGCTTTTCAAAAGAAAATTGATATGATTGCATAGGGCTTATAACTTAATGCCAGGCACTTCTGTTTATTGGCTTTTACACTAGTCTCTTTCAACTAGCTTCAGAAAAGCTGCATTTTACAAATTGTTCATCTTTTCTTCAGTTCTTTTAAAAACCATATTTATGCCAAAGAATGACCTCAGCATGGTGTCCATATCAAACCATGTGTCAAGCTTACCTTGTATTTGGCTGAGGACAGTCAGAGGAGTATTCCTGCACGTGCATCCCAAAAAAGCAGACATCGGTGCCATCGATTTCTTCAAATGCAAACATGGCTTTCGTCCTGTATGGGAAGGAATCTGGGATATCATTCCCAAACCTAGAACAAAGAAGACAATGAAAAGTAATACAGACAATATATCAATGCATCTTTATATCTTTGTTTGTTTGTTTGTTTATATGATCAAATCAGAGGAGGGCCCTCACTTCTGAATAAAACAGATATTTCTTCAACAAAATAAACTCTCAAACACAAAGTAAATTGATCCATACCAAATCCCAGCCCAAGGCATTCTTCTTACACTAAAACACTGCACACTCATTTCAGCACTGATCATGATAAAAAGGTTAAATTAATGCTTTAAACTATCGCAGCTGAATTCCAGATTAGTCTGGAGCAGCACTCACCTGGCCTTCATTCCTGGCTTCACTTCCACCACTTTGTCCAATGCTGACAGCACCCTAATGGTCACCTCTCCTGCGCCAACATCTTTCTTCTTTAAGAAATTGTTCACTCTGTTCTCCAAGTAAAAACCGAGTTTTGTGTTTGGAAGCTCTAGATATGGGGGAAAGAGAGAGAGAGAGAGACTGGTTAACAAACAGCAGACGTGTGTACACAATATGTGCATAACTATCAATAAACAAATAAATAAATATTATTTTATCCAATCTGCATAAATTTTGCTATTAAGGTTCTTAATAGGCTATAATTTCTATTGTGCTTGTGATGAACAGGTATTTTTGTTTGCAAAGCACGGAATAACACTTACACAACATTTTAAGTGTAAGTATTTATGAGGATAAGAATGATTTTGTTTCATTTTTTGAATGTGTATAGTCATGCTGAACAAATCCAGAGTTCAATCTTATTAAAGGCAAGTAAGTATACATCTAACCACAGATAATGTTAAACACTGCCCCCGCTCCCAAATGCCAGTAAAAATGTGTAAACTTGTACAGTTACTTGTCACTATTACTACTTTAGACTAGCAGTTTCCTGGACTGTTTGTGGCCCAAACTGTAAGTAACTTACTTTTGGCGCTATATTTGTTTTCTTTCCTCCGTGTCCCCTTAGCTTTATGACAGTTGTCACATGTGTATCCATTAGGCCAGATTGTGTCCATGTGAGTAACACAGATTTGGTGAACTTTCCGTCCACAGTCATTGCACTCAATAAATCTGATGTGAAAAATGAAAGATGGCAATTTACATATAACTAGAAAGATAAACAAATTAATATAAATTTTTAATAGATTAAAATAGAGATCCCTCCCCCATTGTCTAAGCATTACATTGATACATGACCACACCTCCAAATTTCATCATTCAAATTGATGTAATCATCGCAACAACAAAATATATTGAAGTTAAACCTTTGGATAATGTCAACTGGTTAAAACAAAAAACTTTTACTATATCATTCCTTATGACATAAATCAAAGGGCAATTTAATTACATACAATATACTGTGTTTGGAACCAACAACTTTATAGTCAAGACATAAAGAGATATCTCAGCATTAATGCTACTACAGCTATCTGTCATGGAACACTCACGGTTCATAATCTAAATTGTCGTTCTTCAACTTCACAAATTGATCCTTCTTGATGCGACTGAAAATGTTATGGTTATTTTAAAATAAATGTTCTCTGTTGAAGCATGACACACTTAAACACATGCCCTACTGCACTGGAATGTTTCTATTCATCCCAAAGGAAAAAGCAAACTACATGACATTTAGAACAGTTCAAGCTATGGAACTTTGCAGTTTCTTCAAAATATGGAATAAGTTAATCCCGATATGATTGATAAAGTGGTGCATTTTCCATATTATAAAGGTGTTGTTGACCATCATTTGGCAATTCCAATAAAAACATGTTTAAATTAACATAAATGGGCTTAAAATTTGCGTATTGCCAAGTCAGAATAAATTTAGTATAAATCAGAAATCTTTGAAAAAAAATATTCCACCTGCTCTCCATTTTATAACAATAATCAAACTGTAAAACAAATGCAGAAAAAGTGAATCATAAGATAAAACAATTTCTACTCACATAATTGGCTGTGATGGGTCGTCAGAGAGCTCGACATCTTCACCTTGAATCTCATTGAAGCACTTCTCGCAGAAAGTGTACCTAGTGTTTAAAAGTCCAGATTTGAACTGACTGCTTGGGCAGCAGAAAGGGCAAACGTGAAGGACACCACAACACATAGGCACAAGACAAACATGGGAAATAAAAGAGAGGGAGAAAAAAATAATAAAATAAAACGTTAGTGTTTGCAATAAATAATGGTCATTCTGAAAGTTATGTTAACTGTCACCAATGAAAAAAATTGCATTTAAATTAAATAATCGATTAATAATGATATATCTATGCATAAACATAATTGCACTATATGGAGCAAAACTGAAATATTTGCTTTACATACAATATATCACATTTCATTAACAGCAGGGTTAACTGCTGCTTTCATTCAACCTTGCTATAACCCAAGCATTCTCAAGTTCATTATGTAACTTTTTTCTATATACTGTCAATGATATGAAATCTGCAGAAGAGACCTGTCACCAAAGAGTGATAAGTATAGGTTTGTTACCAGAAAGTGATGATATCCCAGTGACTTGGTGAGTCATAGAAATCAAATGTGTTAGTTTAAATAAAGTACATTCACAAAATTAGTTTTAATATGATCTAAGAAAAAAAAAAGACAAAACAAAACAAGACAGAACAGATCACAAGCAAACCACACACAAGGAAAAAAAGAATTTGTCTCCATAAACACATTAAAAAAGCCTATATGCATACAATTAAAAGTTCACTTTAATCATGTTTAACAGAAAAAGGGAGCACACCAAAGGAACAGAGAGAGAAAAAAGCTACTGAAGAAAACATGTTACTTATTAACAGAAATATTTACAGACAGGCAACATTACAATATTCATCTAAGGATTCTTAAGATAAACATTTACCTGTCTGAAAAATTTCCACTTTTTTTTTTAGTACTACAAGAGTGTTATGATGCTATAAAGGGAAACTGGTAGTTTCTGATGCTTCAAAATGCAAAAATCCATAAGACCAACCCCCTTATCTAAAACTATCAAAAGCATTCAACTACACATTGGAAACTTTTTTTATTATTTAAATGATTTATAAAACAGCAAAGGGTCTGTTCAGACCCGAACTATTTCAGATTGGAAATTAGACTTAAACATGTTACCAGGGGACCAAACTCGACATTTCCAATCTAAAATAACACCGGTCTGCGAAATAAAAAAAATGATGATCTCACCTGTTTTCATAAGCATAATACACAGCATCTCTTGGGATTGTGCAGAGTTGTTTTCCGTAGCAACACAACACTTGGGGACAGAAGACATACTTCCTGCCACAACAATAGCCCAGTGACTGCATCACCCCATCAATTTCATTTTCAAACACCTCAGAAAGCTAAAAGAGAAGAAAATTTAAAAAGGTTATTATCAGAGCCCTTTACCTTCATGGTTCCTGATAATGTAAAATTTTTGTTTCATTTACATTTTATAACTAGAGGATCAGAGAGGCGATACCGCCTCCGAATATTGTACCACCAGCTGGAGCAAGCGCATTCGTATAGACCCCCACATACACAAAATAAGGGACACAGCCACCAGTTTTGTGCTTGACAAGCTGTAAAAATGCAATCAACAAGAATTTTTAAACTATTGCAAAAAATATATATGGTACAATCAAATTTAAGTTCTTCGTAAGGTAGGTCAAGGGTCAATTTCAAGGTCACAGTAAATTGCCAGTATATGACTTCCTATTCAAGTTCAAGAGTAACTATGGACCTATCTCTGTCAAGTTTGAAGTTAAAAGAGAAAGAAATTAGCAGAGTTCAGTTCATGATAAAAAGTAGGTCAAAGGTCAATTTCAAGGTCACATTTAGATTGCCAGTATANCCGTCTATAGAAATTTTTCCCATAACTCCTTCCGTAGGGTAGATAATTAGCATTTAATTTTGCCATTTTTAGACAAGGGTGCATTGCAATGAGTGCCACACCCAGACCCCAATACCGACAAAGCCCAAATTTTACGTGGAACGAGTTGAGATTATAGGTGACCTAAATCCATGAGATGGGTACGGGGGCCCTTACCGTCTAGGAGGAGAAGCGGTAACGGTAGCCGTCCGGCGGAGCCAACGGAGCCGGCGGAGCCGGCGGAGCCGGCGGAGCCGGCGGAACGATCCGGACGGGACCGAAACCATGTGTACCGCCAGCGCTAACGCTGGTGGTACAATGATATATATTTCATGGTTGGAAAAAATTTGTGTGTGTCATAAAAACATCCCCCCCCCTCCAAGACACTTCTCAGAACATAGATTTTTTGTTATTATGACATGTACATTAATGCAAGTTCTTAACCTTTCTTTGCGAGTAGAAAAAATAGGAAAAATATCCTGTAAAAAAAAAAATACTGTTATCATTACTGGCAACAAAATCAAATACAAACAGCAGTGAAGACCTGAAACACTAGACTAAGTACCCATGATGATGTGCCATGAAAATCAATGTGCCGTCAACCCCAACACATTTCCCACCCCACTACGATACTTGAGCACAGGCACCGCTTACCTTGGAGCAGTATTTATATACCCGGGAGGTCTTCCTGTTGTAGAGCCAGGCATTGTTGAACATGATGTAGACGTCTTCCACATACTCCCAGGGGTCCTGGTACTGACCAGTGTCCAGCTTGCGCTTGATAGTGGACAGGTCCATGGGTTTCTTTACAATATCATAGTAATCCTGAAGATAAAGGGAGACACTTTAGACTGAGGCACTGACAGCTAAGTCAGTTAACTATTAAAGGCTAGAATTGGCCTACAGTTTCATATCTGTGATTAAATATTTGGGGACAGTGCCACAAAATAACTTTTGCCCAAAAATTAGTCTTACATTAGGAACAAAATTCTGGTCTACTTCCATTTAAGATAATATATAGCAGTCTAACTAAATATGACAAAATTCAATTATAAACAGTCAAAAATAATTGAGTTACAACAAAAGATGAAGTGAACTTACTGGTATTTGTAAAAGTATAGGATCCACAGGTTGCCTAAACGGCAATGATTCAGGGTCTTGCCTGTATAGCTTCTCCAGTGTGGGCATTAATGCCTGCCTCAGTTCATCAGGTTTGAACACTTAAATGAAAGAAAGGTTAAATGTTTTGTCATGTTTTCTCTACACATCTATCATATTCCTGTATTATAAAATTTGTTCCAATGCTTTATTACTATCTACTTTCTAAACTTTTTTTCACAAAAATTTCAACAATTTCTCATTCACTCTTCAATACATCTCCAAAACTATTATAACATCAAGTGCATGTCTCGACAACCTTTTCTAGCTAACCTCACAGAAAAATGATCATTTAGCAAACATTTTTTACCCCCCCCTTGAAGACGATGAGTAACCCCCGTACCTTTCTTTGTCTTGGGTTTCGACTGGGGTGCTGGAGAGGGGGCCACACTGGGGGGTTTACTATCATTACTGTTCTCCCCACCAGTTGCACTGGCTGTTGACTTGGGAGTGGGCACCTCTTGGGAGCTAGTGTCCTCTTTCACAGACACAGAGGTGGCGCCACCTCCTCCATCCTCGGGCTCCATCTTTCCAGTCGACTCCTGCTTCAGCTCCTTCTTGATCTCTATGTTGCTGCTGTCTGCGTTGGATGCCTGAGACAAGGGGGTTCCTTTCCCACCCTGAGCTGAGGGGGGTTTCTGTCCTGGTTCCACCTTGACCTGTTGGTTTGACTGTAGAGGGGTTTGGCCTGCCTGCATCCCCTGGCCCATCTGTTGCAGTCCTTGTACTAACTGCTGCTTCTGTTGCTGTTGTTGTTGTTGTTGCTGCTGCATGGACTGGTTGGAGCCAGGTGGTTGCTGCTGTTGTTGTTGTAAAGATTGTTGATGTTGTTGGTTTTGCTGCTGTTGCTGTAGCTGTTGCAGCTGCTGCTGCTTGAACTTGAATTTATAAAACAAATTCCCATCAAATAAGTACAGGAAACAAAGACAAATAGAAAGAAATACTTTAGCGTAAAATTTCGAGACAAATCACTTCAGTTAACAAGCAATATTTCATCGTAACTTAAACATTTCATAAAACAACATGTAAAAATTATTATTGTTTACCTGCATTTCATTTTTATGCAAAGAAGCTTGTAAAGCCTCCCTTGATTCCTTCAGTGCTGCACTCAAGGTGTTGGAATTGGTCATCCCGCCTTGCATTACCTGTCCATTGTTCCCCTGGGGTCCTGCCAGGGGTGGCCTGGGACCCCCTAAGCTGTTCAGACCCTGCAGAGACCCTGTTCTCTGGAAGGGCGTCGCTGGCGCCATGGAGTAGGGGTCGTTCTGAAGGTTGGGGTTGGACATCCTCAGGTTGGTGTTCATCAGCGGCGGACCGTCTGTAAAATCAAATATTGAGCCTGTGCCCAACACCGAGGTCGATATTATTTCCAAGCCACAACTATCACTCTCATGTCACTTTTTTAAAACTCTTGGAACTATAATTTTTTACATTTTATAAAGGCAGTTTAAATTTTCGTCAAATTCTTCTTTTGCAATATTTGGGCAAAGATAAAAACTTTCCATTTACAAGCAACAGGAAACTTAAAAGTTTCATCGCCCATGGCAAAGCAACACACACACACAATGCAATATACTTAAATCACAGTGTTTATTTATTCTTACTTTGACTTGACAAGCCCAAGGCTGAATTCAGACTGCTCTGCAACCCTCCCCCTTGCTGGTTATTTTGATCTTTGCCCTGCATCCTGGCTTTTCTTTTCTCCTCAAGTTCCTTTTGGATCTTGTAGATTTTCTCAGCTAACAAGTGGTAATACTCTTCTCGGCTGTTTGCAGTTTCGTACATGTCTCCCTCAACTTTACGGGCGTAGGCGACTAGATTATTCATCCTCCTGTCCTTTAATGCTTGGGGATCTGGGGTAGGGAATATTGCTTGAACCCTGGAACACAATGTAGAAAACCTGTTGAATAGAATTGTCAACTTTTCACTTTACCTCTTCAACATTGTTCTTCAAACCTTTATTTAAATGGGCATATGAAATCAAGTTTTTAACTATGTACAGTACACCTCTTAAGATGAAGTGAGAATTTATCAATTGATATGAAACTACAGTGACTAAAAATGCATAACAAATGACACTTTATGTCAACAATAACAACAACAAAAACAGCAACAAGGCTTACAGGCTACAACTTACAACTTATGCACCAGGTGATTTCTCAAGTCCTGTGTCACATGGTTGTGCCAGTCTTTTGTTCCTTTGTTTGTCATGGCTATATTCTGATTTGGTCCAGTCCCCAAAGAACCACTCAGATTACCAGTGCTTCCCATCTGCAGCTGCTGTGAGATAAGGTTGGTGTTTTGGTTCATACGAGCAGCATCCATGGGAGGAGACATTATGCCACCAGTTTGCTGCATTGGACCTGGAAAAATTTGTACAATGAGACATCTTAACAAAGGAAATTCATCCCCCCTTCCCCCAAAATAATAGATTTTGTTCCAATTCAAATATCATAAGGGACTAAAATAAAATAATTATAATTAAAACAATTTCTAGAAATCACAAAACCAGAACTTGTTAAGTCACTTGCCAGATCTTTCAAGATCTTTAGCTGGAAATATATATGTTGACCATTTCATCACAGCTTGGGATTAATTTCTCCATAACTAACTAAGTAAAAGATTCAACAAAATTCAATATGTCCCAACCACAAGTTCATATTTTTAATTAAAAGAAATAAGCCTTCTTTTACCTTGAGAAGTATTGAGAGATGGCCTAAGCTGTGGCTGACTGTTGGGTCCCTGTGAGGGATAGGGGAGACCAAGTGCAGCATAGGCCTTCTGCATCTCAATAGGAGCTGGGCCCTGACTGGATCCTAACAGATTTTGACCTGAATTAGGTCCTGCAAGAGCAGCAAGAACAGATGCTGAAAGAAATTGGGAAGAGTAAAATATGGAAAACATACCTACAATCTGATCATATCTGCTGTTTGGATGCCTTGGAAAGCAAATGTATGTCATAAAATGAGTATCTTAAATAAAAACTCACCTGTAGTTCTCCTATCTGCTGAAGCATGCTTCAGTGGCAAGCAAACAGGACAATCCTGACGAGTACAATTTTTCCAATGAGATATAATCTGGCGTGAAGATGCACAGTGAGCAACTGAAAAAGAATATTCCAAATGATTCCACAATATCAAAAAGAGTCAGTTGAAAATGTCAGCACTAAAAATCCCTCAATTAATTGTATAAGCATTAAGTTCCATAAAATAAGATGATGCATTTACCCTGACAGTTCTTCCCTGCATTGCAAGTTGTCATGTGATTCAATACATTTTTCATGGTACGACAATGTGGCAGTGTACACTGGCGAACTTCTCCATTGGCTTGTTCACGCCTCTGACATTTGTGTGCATGAAGCAGCAGCACCAACTGTTGTTGGATAAGTTTCCGTTTCTCTGGGTCTGCATGTGCAGTCGGTGGTGCCTGCTGGGTCAAGCCTGGTTGGGGAGCCAGCTGAAATGAAAAGTCAGATACAAATATCTTTAACATAAATACTCAATTACTGTGAGGAATGAAGTTTTAATTGCTTTTTGGTTATAGGCACAATTCTTATAGTTAAGCGAGTATATCTACGGTACACACCAAATTTGTGCCACAAATTAGATGTTGCAGGGAGATAGAAAACTCTTGTTATTCCTAAATTTACAGATGAAATAAAACTGCCTAATAAACAATATGAAACAGCATCAATAATTCATCAAATCAGTCTGCTCTAGAACACTGTTTGCAGTAGTTGCAATAATTTGAAAATTATCTTTTGTATAACTTCTGTGACCTCTCAATATGAACTTGTCAGTATCATCTGCCTCAACCTTTCACATTTAACATGAATATAAAGAGTAAGGATGTGATCACATTACGTAATTTCACAAGAACTAATTTCAGAATCTCTTATAGTGTACCTAAACTAGAAGCTTTGTTTGGAAAAAAGGGGGGATTTAAATGTCCCTCTCAGTGCTAGGCCTCTCAACTTTCAACTGATGAAACAAGTTGACTTTGTTGTTTATGACCAATTAATCCAATGAAATGCCTCCACTACAGAGATAATCAATAGAGTGAAATGCCTCGCCTCCTCCTGACATTACTCAGTATAAAACGGCTCTTACAACTGACAAAACAACTGGGAAAACCACCCAAGGACACAAGCTTGGTGCACATATAGACACACTCAAAATTTAATCTCAGTTAGCCAAAAACAAATCTTGGGTCTATACCACAAATTACAAGACTGCCATAATTACTACTCCTACATTGCAAAATAGTAAGCCCAGTCTTAAATTAGCTTTTGCAAACACATTTCGAAAGCATTTTGCCTTGCTGGCTCTTAACACCTCTGGTTGAAATTACAGGTCAATTTGATTGCATTCATTTGACCCTCTCTACAGAGTCAATGCCATACAATAGAGAACCTAACCCTCTTTAATGGGATTAACAGTATGGGTACAATCAAGGCCGCTTATAACACCTTAGTATCCAATATCAACCTAACTCTGATTATTCATATTAACATTATTAACAAATGTACTTCTATGCCCTCTCTCCATCAGAGCCCTGTCAAGGCAAACATTCTCATTTAAGCTGATTTTTGTCCATTAAGTAAATGACAAATTGACTTAAAAACATAATTATTAATTTATTCTAAAGCATTTAGTTAAGTCCTCAAGTCTCCAATCTTTGAGTCTAATCATAACTAAGACCAGAAGGTGGTCTACCACACCTTTTCAAAACCCACTAGTCTTAGGAGGAAACTGAAAACAATTGGGCATCTTCCTACTTCATATAACATGCTATACTTATCTGTACAAAATAATTTTACTATAATATATATTACTCACATGCTGCAGTACAGTTAATTGACACAATATATTACTTATATTAATTATAAATATACTTTATTTATAAATCACATTAACTATCAAAACATAACCTTTTCAATTCATATAAATGCTAGTCAATCTTTAACTTTCAATTCATTATATTATTCACAGCTTTTCAAATTGTCCAAAAGTTAACAGTATCAAGAGTCACAACAACTAAAAATCAAATATGTATACATAACTTTTTTTTTATTTAAACCACAGGAGTAAGAGTTTTTCTTCATACAACCTACATGGATTGTCTGAAGGGTTAATGTCCGATTAAAAATTAAAATAATTTGGCTAAAAAATTGAACAATCATATATGTATATAAAATGATTCCTGATATAACCCTGAACTAAAGAGACTATTCTCCATAGATCTCATGCCATGTGAGCTACTGCCTTGTCTCACCATTCACTTTCACATGAAAACCAATTCACATGTAAATTCTCAAGACCAACAATGCCTAGTATTAATATGTGGAAAATAAGAACAAACAGCACCCATCCTAAAATGAACTGCCTTTACAACATGTGCTCAGGACAAAGAACAAAGGAGTTTCCCACAGTCAGACACACCTCTTCTATAAATGTTCAAATTAAACAGCAACATAGTTATGAAAGACCCCTTTTGACATTCACTTATTCCCATGTAAACATCAATAAGCCAAAGCTATTCCTTTCTTTAGGAAATGCCCCAAATTTAAGAATCTTCTGGGGTCTTAAAATACCCAACCACTCTTGCTACAACTACAGTTAGGCTATTCAGTGCAAAGTAAATAGACCTAACATGGCTTCCCCATGCAGTGACCTAGTTTCTCCAAACACACCAACTTGGAGTGGGACAGTGGCACAAACAACTTCAAAAACCCATCTTCTGCTCACTGACGACTATCAAATGAAGAATTTTCCACCCAAGAACGAAGTACAGTGACCACTTTAGAATAATTAACACAATTCACATATAATGTTATTCTGATGCAGCTTTGGCAAGAGTTTTTAATGTCAGCCCCTCCCCTTTCTGCCTCTTGTTCTTCTAGTCTGAGCGAAAGGCAAATTCAAATGGCTATTGCTTGCAAAATTGGTCTCTAAATGCTTTGAGTTCCTGACAGCATATACTTTGTTAAGATCTGATTGAATCTATACCAAAAACATTGTCCAATTTCAAATTAGATAGGACACAAGGCAACAAATGGCCTCCAGAAAAAAACATGACATCCAATGCAGACTCTTAATTTCTAACAAGTCATTTACCCAAATCTGACCCATGCTCTCAATCATAATCTACACTGCTTTGTTTTTTCAGTTTTGGTAAATTCAATCCAATTTAAATTAGAGAAGACAAGAAAAACCAAGTCAACAACTACTCCTCTGTACAGTTTTGACTTTTTAGAAAATAATGCTTGGAAAATTACCACAAGCATTTTCCAAAATCCAGCAGAATATTGAAAAAAACCTTCCCATAAATAGCACCTAACATTTTAGTAAAAATTATCATTTAACATTAAAAAAAGAACAGAGCATGAGATAACAAACATGACCTACCTTGAGCAATGCATTTGGCACTCCTCCTCCCGTGTTCATCCCAGGTCCTCCGGGATGTCCCATGTTAGGCTGGGAGGCATTGAGTTGTGTCCCAAGCAGGTTTCCTCCAGAGCTGGACATGACGTTACCCATACTGTTCATAGTATTCCCCATTGAGGATGGACCCATGTGGTTTCCCATTGCATTGGGTCCCCCCATCATATTGCCTTGTGAATTAAAATTTGGATTCATCTGCTGTGGCCTGTTAGGGCCGCCCAGTGATATAGTGCTTGGCCCATTCATCAATGGATTTAAATGCTGCATATTTCCACCAGTGTTCATCATTGGTTGTGAAGTCACAAGTTTTGTATTCATGGAGTTGACTGAATTAATAGAATTTGCCATTGACATACTTGCCATGCTCATAGAATTGGACACAGACATGCCTCCCATTGAATTAGCCACTGACATGTTATTCCCAATGCCCATATTGTTAGCCATACTGTACATAGTGCTATTCATAGAGTTCATGTTTGAATTCAAGGAATTCAAGTCATTGCCTCCCATACTGTGGGGTGTTGAAGTTGCCACCCCTCTGTTTGGAGGGGAAGATAAACTGTTTGATAATGGACTTTTCATGTTGTTGGCATTGGAGTTCATGCTATTGGCCATGCTACTGGCCACAGATGCCTGTCCTTGGATGTGCCCTGAACTCGAATGCTGTGGGCTAGAGCTATTGCTGGTCTGTCCGGGAGTGGGAGAATCTGAAGAGAGGAGCTGTGACAGTTGCTGGTGCCTCGAAGGATTGTTGGGGTTATCATCCAGAGCTTTCTGTGCCACTGTAGGCCCATTCTGGTTCTCCGTTGATGATCCAACAAGTTCGTCTGGCAAGTCATTTTCCAAGTCGTCCAATAACTTGCCGAAGAATTCTAAAATTAATTTAAAAATTAAATATTAAACAAGGAAAGACAATTTTATTTTTTGACCAAATACACTTTATATTCATATAATTTTTAACACATTTTTTAAAAATTACATCTATTTTAATGTAAAAACATGAATGAAATTCAGCATGCATCACATAATGCTTGTTCTCAAAATACCTTGCAAATGCAGCAAAGAGCATACGCATCCAAAATATTAAACCTTATACTGCTAATATATAACATATAAATATGTGCAATATGGGCTGGTCAAATAAACAACCATGTAACCATTTTATAATTTAGATTAACTGTTTATTTCACCGGCCCATGCCGCATTGCAAAAGTCGTTGGATTCGAAAAATTAAGACTTGAACATTTTCACCAGTATCTTTTTTACAGATGCAGCACTTAAACATCTTTACACTTGTTCAAACTTAAAACTGGTACTTACCGACATTTTCGCTGGGAGTAAGAGCCGGGGATTGTATCTTTTGCCTCTTGTTAGGAGGCCCGTCCACAAGTTGGTCGGCCATGTTGTGATCTCTTCTTGCGAATTTTGCAAATGGTTCACAATTCTCGAATAAATACTGAATAATAACGGTCTAAATACATCCTATCGTTGTCTGCGAATGCTCACAAAGCTTTGCAGATCAAATCCAAGGTGCCATATAAGCAGTTAAGATAATTTCGCCTGATGTCAAGTCATAATTTCACCTGGAATTGCCGCACAAAGCAAATTACCCCGTATCTCCGCTGAACTTTGACTACTCCAGATCCACTCTAAAATCACACCTGTCGATCTCAGTGAGTTCCGTGTGTCATCCTAGATATGTTCAATGTGAAGCGATCCGTTCGAATCAGAATCTGAACGGTATATTAACGCTAAAAAAAGGAAAATTTAGGATCTAAAATTACCCAAAATGGCGGCTGTTGATGAAAAGTTTTACGCTTGTCACAGAAAACAACGAAGAATGCCGAGCGGAAATTCTTTACCCGGAAATTGATTATTCATGGGGATTCCCTACCATGTGATTCAATACAAGTAATCTGATTGGGTAGTTTTTCACAATTTGATCACATGACCAAGTGACGAAAGGATCCGAAGAGTAACGAATGGTATTCTGTTGCATTGTGGGAATGAATTATATCCCTATTCCCTCCATCCACTGAAGAGTTTCTTCGTGCGCGTTGAGAGCTGTTTTTGGAGTGTTTCTAAAGCAGTCTGTGCCTGTGCAGCAAACAAAAAATTGCAGAATTGGCAACCATAGCGCATTTTACAAGTATGTGCGTGTTCACTTAAATATTTGTTTTATTTAAAAACGGTATAATTTTCTATGGTTTTTATGAAAAATATTTGGAAAGGGAATCTGGGAAAACCCCTTTCCGTAGATCGCGTTTACCATTATATGGTGCATTGCCCTTTGTACAGTTGTAGACTTTCTAACCGACGCCACACTTCTACTATTACTTTGTTATATTTACTTAACGTTCTACTGATAATAAGGAACACGCTCGGCTGTCACCTTGATTGGATAGTAAACGATTGTCGTAAAATCGCTAAATGATATAAAAATCGGGTGCATAAACTTGAAAACCACCTAGGACAACCTTGGACTGCCACATTAATCCAATACAATGCAAAAATAAACTATAACAAGTGGTTAAAGCCCTCAAATCGAATGTTGTAAAGTCCCCATATACCTCCATAGAGACAATAAAATAGAGTAAGCTTGTGAAACAAGATTCCACAATTTTAAACATAATAATCGAAATAAAATACTGCCGGGCATCGGAGCGGCCTAAAACTTGGCATGTTTACCGCAAATACTGCAGGCTACATCATCCCGTCGCTTGTTTGTAAAACCCGTGCATGGCATACGCACAATCAAACCGTAAATCCAAATTCCTGCTTTGACGCTTGACTTGGTCCTCTCCACAATCCAATTCAGGAAATGACGTAACCGCAGAGGTCGCATTGTCCAATAGCATGGCTTCTTTTTCGTAATGGGAGATAAGAGTGGACCGAGTCAAGCATATTATACCTACTAGTAGATAAATTTAATATTTCTCATACTCCTAGAAATAAGAACAAACTTTTCACTTTCTTAAATTATTATTTGTCATTTTATTAAACTAAGTTTTAACAGGCAGCTGTATTTTTTAATACTTGGGTGCAAAAATAAATTGGTTATGGTTTAAGAAAGGGAATTATTCCATATTTAAGCCACACATGTGCATACAAAATAATATTTGCAATTCTCAAACCTTTTAATGCAGGTTGTGTGGGTTACCTAGAAGCATAATAGAAGCATTATATGCTTTCTGTCAGATACTAGAAAATTAGAAAATTCACATACACACGCGCGCACACATGTATGTATGTATGTATGTAAAAGAAACAACAAAAAGATGAATAGAAATGGTGAAAACAAATTAACATAATGCTGATTAACAACTAAGCAGAATGATGAAATAAATTAGTCATATCACTTACACACAAAAAACTAAGCAAAATACACATATAAAAATATTTTATATTAAAGGAAAAAACTGACTATATTCCAAACTGCTTTGTCATTAGAAATTTTACTAAAAAATAAATTTATTTCTCCTTTGGATTTGAAAAAAAATTGTAAACATGACTACATTCTGGTCCGACATTAACAGAAATGTCACTAAAAGGGGAAGTTTTGCCTTGGGACCTTGGGAGTTTGAAAGACGATATAATAAATCAATGAATATCTGTGTTATATTATTTTAAGCATTATCATTTCTGTCTGTGACTTTGCTGCCTTGTTATACATATATACAGTCCCAGCTAGGTGTGGCCCAGCAGAGTCGCATGGCAAAATAGACAATGTCAACAGTGGATTGAATACTGTTCAATGAGTTGACCTTATACATCAAGCATTTAACAAAATATAACCAAATTGGTCAGACATTACATAAGAATTTGGTGGGAAGTGACCAGCAAACAGGACAAGTTTATTCCGTATAATATCTCTAAGGCTGTATTTCCAGAGCTTATAGATCGATCTATCCCAGCGAGGAGTCTCACTAGATGACTGTCAGATAATCTGGCTTAAATGTCTGTCCCGCCTACTACAAGCTGTAAGGTGGTAATTAACTTTCGTATCCGCTCGGCTGACAGCTATTTAGCGTAAACCCCCAGGGAGTTAGGTCGATCTAAAGTAGATCAATCTAATCTCTCTCTGGAAATGCGGTCTAAGCGTGATATCGGGTCACTATGACATTATCTTTTATGGTATTTATGTCAAATAATACACTGTCACCCTCTCGCAATATGTGCCTTGAGCACCTCTCTCTGAAGCTCAGGATGTTCTGGCATGCATCACTCTGGTTACAGTGTATTATCACACATATACCCATACATGAACATACGTTCATGCATACGTTTACTTAATGTAAAGGCCCCTTTACACTGTATGGCATGCTTTCTGCGTCCCGTGGTGCGGCCTTGTTTAGGAGTAAAAACAATAATAATAATTTACATGCTGACAGCTGGCCAATCATTGAGCATGCATTTTGCAACCAAAGTGATGCTCGTGCCCCTTTTTACGACCATAGTGATGCCAGTTTCATGGACGCAGAAAGGAAGCCGCCCAGTGTAAAGGGGGTTTAAGTGCATAAACTGGAATCACACAGAGAAGACTGTCGACATGTAATCAGTATGTTTCCTTTCTTCTCTTTCTGTCCAGGTAAAGCTTGAAACCTGCAGGATATATATTCTAGTGAGCTGATTGTGATATACAGACTGGAGAAGTATGGCTGGTCAACCAGAAGAAATAACATCAGAGTTCCAACAAGATGATTCCATTTCTCAACAAGTATATATATATATATATATATTTTTTTTTTTTTTTTTTTTTCCAATTTATTTTTTTCCTAAAAGCAACCTGGCTCTTTACCAAACAAAGTCACTCAGTAAATTTAAAGTAAGACAGAAGTACGGTTTGGCCGTTATGGTTCGAAGGTCATGTGTTGGCCAGCAACAGCGACAACACAACTAACAGTGTCTGTATATAATAAAAAAAAAGAGGAAACTATTCAAAACAGTCGATGGCAACTGATCAATAAACGGCCGGAATTGTATGAGGTATAATAATATGTAATTTGGCATCAAAATTGACAAAATGCTTTTCCTATTTTTGCCATTTTGAGGTCAGCAGATTTTGAAAAAAAATATAATAAAACAATGAATATCTGCATTTTATTATTTTGGGCGTTGTATTTCTGATTTTTGTCGGTAGCTTTGCTGCCTTGTTATACGTATAAATTCACTGTTTGTCTCTCTGTGTATAATCTGATAACTGTGTCTGTCCATATCATTATTACAATTGCCATCTGACACATCTGTTCTTCAACCTATTATTGCAGTACTTTTGTTTAACCTTACAGAATCTCCATAACACAGGCAGGGATAACTTTGTGTACACTGGCAACAACTGCAAGGCACAGGTGGAAACCAGATACCACTGCAGCATTTGTGATGTAAGTGCCCTTCTTGTGTGAATAATGCTAAACATAAACCAAAGAAATAAAAGAAAAAGTTAGGTGAACAAGTCTGATATTCATTTATATATTTACTCTTGAAAATCAGCATTGAGGATAAAATTTTGTTTCTTTTTCAGAAGGTTCATATATGATAGTTTTATTAGTCAAATTGAAAACTTTTTTTTGGTTAAAATATATATTTATATTGTTTATTGCAAGCATGAAACAAGGATGCTACTAAGAAGGGGGTTGATTTAGTATGACAGAGGTTATGAATTCTGTTAACTATTTATGATAGTAAAAATACCATTTTGTTTCTGATTTTATCGTGAAATAACACATTTAAATGGCTATGGTTTGAAGTACAGTATCTTTACCTGATTTATGTAACTTGTCAGTTGATGCATTTTTATAGTAGAAACAGCCATTAGAAGTCAAAACTGAAAACTCTATAATTCTAGAACTGTAAATGGTTGAGACCACTTGTTTTGTTGCATTTTGTAGAGCTTGTCAAGTGCAATACTGGAAATGGTGTCTGTTTTTTTTTTTCCATACAGTTTAGGAGTTACACTGTTTCAAATGGTACAACGTCACAATGCTCATAGGTGAAAATAAAATTGGAAATACTGGAAAATTAGCAGAGGTATGTCCATATTGAACATAAATAGAAAGTTGTATATTGGCAATCTTCTGGTGGCCTTGAATTTGACCTATTTTTAACATGAACTGTACTTTATAAATTTTCCAACCCTCATATCTCCCAAAGTGGCAGAAATACACCCATGTTACTATTGAACTTGAACAGGAATTCATATATTGGGTATCTTACTGTGACCTTGAATTTGACCTTGAATTACTTTTCACCATGAACTGAACTTTGCAAATTTTCTTGCCCTTATATCTCTGAAACTGGCAGAGAGACACCCGTAGTTATTACTTAACTTGAATAGGAAATCAATTTTTTTTACCCTTATATCTCCAAAACTGACAGAGATACACCCATTCAATAAATGTGACAAATATAATAAAATATAATGAAATTTTGTCATTTTGGGCCAGTAATTGTATGTTTGTTGCTAGGCCTCACTTTTTCCCGATGATCACTGTGTCAGTTACCACATTGTACAAAAGGTGAGTTAGCAACCCAAGAAATAAATTTACTTTAACTTAAACACTATGTGTGCCACCCAAGGTGAGAGATAGTGATCGCTATAGTTGGCTTTGGACGCAAAACAGCATCATCATCACCATTATGGGGGGTTTCATTAGGAAAATGCTGCACTCTTGCTAAAGCATATTTTACCTGACTTTTCCGTGTGAGATAGGAGGGGCACTGAAATTAGTGTCTAGTTTCCAGGTTCATTTTTCAACAATAAGCCTGACAACCAAAAACTAGTGATGTATTTAAAAACAATACTGGCATACAGAAAGTAGCGTCATTTTTCAAAAAATTAATCTGGCATCTAGAAATTAGAGTC